CCGTTGTTCAGCAACTTGGTAATCTTGTCGAACAGGTCGTCATTAAGCAGGGGCTGGACGTTCTTGATCAAGCTGTTGATCTCCTTGACGAAGTCGGGCGTGAGCAAGTTGTTGCCGTTCTTGATCAGGGAGTTGACCTCCTTGACGAAGTCGGCGGTCAACAGGTCGTTACCGTTGTTCAGCAACTTGGTAATCTTGTCGAACAGGTCGTCGTTAAGCAGAGGCTTGACAGTCTTGATCAAGCTGTTGATCTCCTTGACAAAGTCGGGCGTGAGCAAGTTGTTGCCGTTCGTGATGAGCGAGTTGACCTCCTTGACAAACTCGTGAGTGAGGAGGTCGTTGCCGTTGTTGAGCAGGGTGCTGATCTTCTCAAACAAGTCAGGCGAGAGCAGAGGTCCAACGTTGCTAATCAAGGTCTGAGTGTCGTTCACGAAGCTAGGCGTCAAGAGGTTGTTGCCGTTCTTCAGGAGGCTGTTGACCTCGTCGGCCAAGTCGTCGGTCAGAAGGTTGTAACCCTTCCCGATCAAGGTCTTGGTCTGATCCGTGCTCTTGTCGTCGAGCAGGTAGGCGACGTGGTGGAAGAAAGACTCAATGTCCTTGAGCAAGGTAGGCGAGAGAAGACCTCCGACACCACCGAGCGACGATTTCAAGTCAGAAAGGAGACCATCTCCAGTGGTTTCAGAAGCACCCGTGGAGGCAGCTGCACCGGGAGACGTGGTGCTCTCAGCAGCGGAGGAAGTGGGAGTGTTCTGGGTGGATTTTGCATCGCCCAGAACGCCACCCAGGAGACCACCATCCTGGTCATCATCATCATCATCATCATCATCGTTGGTCTCGGTGTGTTTGGTGTTGGACGACGCCTCGCTAGGGGAAGGGCTGGTAGCTGCTGCCGTGCTGGCGGTGCTGGCGGTGTTGCCAGAGTTGGCAGTGTTAGCGGCAGGAGTGGCAGCCTCAGAAGAAGAGCTGCTGGACTTTTCGCCGCCCAGAATGCCACCCAGAAGACCACCATCCTGGTCATCATCATCGCTGGTCTCGGTGTGTTTGGTGTTGGACGACGCCTCGCTAGGGGAAGGGCTGGCAGCTGCTGCCGTGTTGGCGGAACCAGTGGCAGCATCCGCGGTTGGGGTTTGAGCCGAAGCGGACTCATCCTCCTCGGGCTTGCCTTGAGATGGAGCTGGCACATGAACCTGAGCCTGCGACGTAGACTGTTGCTGTTCCTGCTGTTGTTGTTGCTGCTGCTGGGTGGTAGTGGTCAACGGGGCGTTTTCTTGACCACTGGCCTGAGAGTTGCCCTGGTTGTTCACATTCTGGTGAACAGCAGCGGCTGTCGATTCACTCGAGGCGCTCTGAGCCGAAGCACTTCCCGCAGGCGACGAAGCCGGGGAAGCCAGCGCAGTGCTGGACAGCAAAAGAGTACTTGTGATAACAGCGGAGAAACGCATGCTGGCGGTTCACGGGAGGGAAGGGGAGGACAGTAACTTGACTTGAGAAGGAGCCCGAAATCCGACAAACCAGAACCTCAGGAGATCTCTTTCCTGGCGGGGAGCATGCTTTTTAAATAATATCGACCTCCCTAAGCATTAGACTAAACAATTGGACCAAAACTTCTCCCCACAATTAGAGGGAAAATGGGGCCAGCCGAGGATTGCGACCCCCCACCGGGCCCTTCGCTAGTGTAGTTTATTCACCTCAATTTAGAGGATTCCGAGTTTTGTTGATGTCAATGGCACAGGGGGGGGGGGGGAGCTCGTTTAGACCGGGATATGCCGGGGGAGTTGCCTAATTCGAATGAATCTCCTGGTAGCATTGCTAATCCAGGGCACAGAAAGAGCCAGGAGAACATGGTCAAAAGGCACCAAAAAAAAAAAAACAAAACAAAACTAGCGCAAGACGGTCTCTTCGGAGGAGGATAGGGAAATTGCGACTTGCAGCGGCGATATTCCTTTTAGGCCCAAGATTGAGCCGACTGCCTCGGGATCGGCAGCCTCCATAGTGCTAGTCTCCATGGAGCATTCCGTTAGCAGTCAACAGAACAAGCATACTTGTACAATTCCATAGTAGAGAATGAAATAAAGAGTACAAATATTGTAGTATATTCTTTGTGTGGTACCGAGTGAGTATCTCCATTGAACGACGTGGTTGATATCTGGATGAAATCTCCGATCAGGGGTCTCGGGGGAACCACGGATGCACCGCATTCACACTCTCCGGTCAACTCGGTACGTGACCTCCAGACCTTCACGAACTTTGATAGATGAGAGATGGATACAATGGAGCATCGGTTAGAGAGAAATGCGGGGGATCGAGTCCAACGATGCGGAGAAGACGATTACAATAACGAGAATTGAAAGAATCGGTAGGAAATGGAGACAACCCCAGGTTCATCTCGGTAACATGTGATCTGAGGCTGTACAGAGGACAGTGACAACACTCAACCACGTTGCGATCGGCATCGTATTCGGAGGATTGCTCAGTGCCATGTCCTCCATCCGCACTACTGACACAGTTCTCTGTTAAAGCACGCATAGTAGTATACAGTATGTAGTACATAGTAGTCTCCCAGAGTAGATAGCACTGCGATAATACAAGCACATGCATCACAGCCTTGTCTCTAAGCCTTGGCTATAATCCGTCAAATATGCCGGCAGTCTTCGAGATATCTCACCATGTCCGCTCTGGGCACTCTAACCGAGTCTCCGTGATTGGTACGAGTGAGACACGCAGGCGGGGGATTGTCAAAGTACTCTCTCGCCCAATGATACAGCCATATACAGATTTTTCTATGGGTCGCCAAGCTAGCGGCAGGAACTAGTTCAACCTAAAGGACTTAGCGGGCAATTCGGGTCGTGTTGGGATTGGAGGATTTTGTTCCTGACCCAAGAGATGGGCTGCTATTTTGATGAATATAGCCGATGTTGACCATGGGTGAGCAGATGTTTATACATACTCTGTAGTAAGAGTGTGAAAGTAGTGAACCAGGGAAAGAAGCGACGAAAATAGGAGTTCATTTGAACGACCACGGTTGAAGAATACGAAGCGGACTCCGGAAAGCTTAACTGCGGCTACAGCTGCTTATTGCGATTTTCCCGCTTTGTCCAAAGTCAAGCCATCTGCGTCATGAGAATACATGACTTGGCCCGTGTAGAATCAGTGCCATATTATTTTCATATTCAATTGCCATAAGCAATAGTAGGGGGGGTTCCCCCCCCCCCCCCCCCCAACCGCCATAAGACGCACATAATATTCCCTGGTAGTACAAAGTAGGTGAGAGGACTGACCAGTTGTCTCTGCGGAGCACATACTTGGAAGGACACCTCCCTGGTCTTTGCTCCAGTGTCCATGTGGTTGTATTACTGTCAAGCGAGAGAGGACAGTTGTTGACACTTCCCAATAGTTTCCGGAGAGGAATAATGAACTCGTAACTTTACTAGTACTCTCCTAGTTCAGCACCGGCCAGACATGCACCATGTTCCTAGTGCATTGATGCTTTGCAAGAACGGTTCATCTGCCAAAGCTTATTGTCCTAGTTCAGATATCAAAGCTCGATAGCGCCTGTAGCAACGAATTGTACTCTAGTGCATCAACTAGTTTTCAATTCCACGATGATCTTCTATGCAGAAGTTCTGGAATGTACACAACTGTCAAGATGCTTCAGACTAAACAAGGTAAAATTCGACTATCAATGGCTTCTGGCTAACCGATCTGTTCTAATGTCAATTATTACCCACTAACATCGACTCTCGTGTCATTGGCAGTTTTATCCAGTCCATTGAGATCTAGCGAAGTTGTAGAGTTGGCCTTTGCTAGCACTCCGAATTAATATTCTTGCATGGTGCTGATCAGACGATCAGCTTTACTCCAGTTACTTTGAGAGCTCAAATCAGAATCGCCGCGGCTCCTCCCTGCAAACGAGTACAAGCAGTTGGTCGTCATCGGCTTCAAATATGCATCGTCCAATGTCCCCGGGATCGAATGGTGTCAGAGCTTTCCAGAGCCTGGTCTTTACATCTATGCACAATGATGCTAGCTTACGGCAATAGCCCACGTCGAGAGACAAAGGGATACGTTCTCAATATCCAAGTGGAGTAGCATCGAAGAAATGCCCCAACGTCAACATGGTGATATACGAAAAGTCACACACTGCGCTGTCCATCGTACATAAAAACGGTTCGAATGGAAAGAGGCAGGTATTCCGTACCTTGCCGTACTATGCACATCAAGGTGCTATCGTTTGCCCCTGTTAATCATTCGCAGATCAGTATTGCCCAATTCTTTCGGGTACATAATTAGGTATAAGGTTTAGAAGATAAAGTGCGAGAACCACGTAGCTCCCTTATCACACTGTAGTCTCGCACATATCTGACATACAGACCTGATTGATCAATAACTGAGGACTATGATGGCCCGTGTACTTTCAACCCAAACTCCATCACAGACTTAAGCGTGCAATTCTACTCAACAGCCATCGGCGCATATAATTTCGATGAATAGGACATTTGAAGGGGTATATCATGAGACTATTACAGAAGAAAAGACGGGGTGTACGAAAGGACTATGCCAGAGACAAAACGATAGATGGTCGATAGTAAAGAAAAACAATAAGGTGATATAGATAATTAGAATACAGCTGGGCGACATGGCCATGCTTATAGATCAATAGATCATCGCATAAAGAGAGCATCTATATAAAATGTTCCGTATAGCTGCAAGAAAAGCAGACATTCCGTTTGAGTACAAACGGATGTATGCCTACAACTACTGCTACTACTATATCCGCGTAGTCCAGAGAGCTCACGGGATTATCAATGGTCTATTCATGGCACAATCGCCATGCCTGAACAAACATAACTGATGACACCCCGGACAGGCTTAAAAGGAAAACCTAGGTCTTATTCGGTATGCATTCAGCTGTATCCTTCACAGCATTGTGCCAATGAATGGCAATTCGTGTCTAGTAGAGTAAGCCTTGTATAGAAGAAGAAGAAAAAAAAAAAAAAAAAAAAAAAAAAGCTGACACGCCGTGGTATCAACCGATATCTTGGACCTTTTCGAAGGCTGTGTATGTTTTGACATCCCGTCCTTCGTGAATTGCAACAATTACGTCTTCATATTCCGTTATATTGACTCAAGACTGTAGTCCAGATGATTCGAGACCAGGTATTCCAGAACGTGATATTCCAATTCACCGTAGAAGGTGATCTGACAGAATCCGACAAAAGCCGTCAAAGGCCAGCCTGAACATCTCATTTTGCCTAGTACACAGTAGCGGAGGCGATCCCGATGTTTATTGTGACAAGGACAAGGGTCGAATGTGGTGTAGTATTCCTGCCTGTCATATGTAGTGACAGCGCCGCCAAAGAACTCTGATAGACCGTGACACTTCAAGTCCAATCAATCGAGCATGGACAGCCCTTACAAGATGACCTCTCACAATACCAAGCTGTCATCAGACTTCAATCACTCTGGCCGGAACCTTGTAGAGATGGTTTGTGTATCTGAGCGTCATAATGCAGAACCCATGCATTGACGCTTATAAGAGATCTGTCAGTGCTACCAGGCACCAGGTAGAAGTGCGATATCAGCCGGATGGTTTGACATGGCGTTTTTGCGTAACCCTGAAAGTGCTTGATGTTGCCTGTGAAGGGTTGTACAATCCATCTGACGTTATAGTTCCTGTAAGCTGTCAGCGATGTCTTGATATGGCCAAGTGTGACGATCAAAGAAACGTTTTGCACTACCACATCGAGCTTGCGAATACAAACCAGGATGAAAGAATAGCTAACATAGTTGACTTCTCACAATGGAAGTTGTTCAAATGTGACCCTGTCGTACTTTGCAAAAGTCCAAGGTCAAGGATAAATATACATAGACCTACCAAATCAGGAAACATACATATCATCACACAAGTATCACAACCTAATAAAAATAGACCCTCCCACCAAATCCACAATCCCTGTAACACCGGAACAAACCCCCGACCTAAAGCACCCACCGAAAGTACAAATAAAATCCTCCGACTGTCTCGCCAAATCCCCGTCCCAGCCCAACAACAACAAATCCGGTATAGTCTGCTCAGGTGATCAATAGCGCATGTACTGTCAGCAAGTTACTGTGGAACTTTTTTTTTTTTTTTTTTCCCGCCGGTCCCTGTCCGCTGTCATGCAGAGTGTCACCGGCCATTGTCTTTGCTTTGTGCGAGGGTAGCGGGGCAGGGGCAGGCGTTACCTGTAGCGCCGTGGTCTCTTCGTCAGCATTATGGGTTATGGTTTTGTATGTTTGTGAGATGGCATCGGAGCCAGTCAGGCTGGTAGAGTTGCATTTTCTGAGACAGTTTGTGTTTGTAGTTACGGCGGTTGGTGGTTTTAATGTTTATGTAGGCGCCGAGATGAGGGGCTTGTTGGCGCGTAGGATGTATGTTTTCTACGGGATGCTCTGGTGTAGTTCCAGGCTTCCGAGTTTGGTTTTTGGGTTTGTTTGATGATATGTAGGGGTATGCAAGTTGGATGACTCGGTCAAAGGAATACTCGACTCGGGCATGGAGTCATGATTAACAATATATCCACGTCCCCCACTATCCGTATAGGGCACTGCATTGATAACATCCCACAACGCAGAACAGATTTTTACATGGTATTTTATTTTATTATTATTATTATTATTATTTTTTTTCGAGTGACTCATGATGTAAGATACTACGCTGTACTATTCTAAGAATCTTCAGCCGGCATCGGTACATTGAACGTGGTCTGTGGCGAGTGACAGCTGTGGCGGTGGCGCAGTTCGCTTAGACTGTCGAGTAATGCAAATGCAGTAACGGCCTCACTCCGGCAGTGATGCATCGAGTGCTGACGAGTCTTCATAATTCTCAAGAAATGTCCAGACTATACTGAACTTTTGTCTACAGAGTACAACACCCCCCTATATATTGTAGTTGTGACCTATCTAGTAAAATACAGTATCGAGGCAGACCCGAAAGTCTGGAGATGAGCATCGACCGGGCTCAGTCCAATGGCCGATCCCAGCGGGGATCTCAGCAGCGCCCGTCGTTCTGCTAGTCAGGCCAATAATAGCCCATAAGTGGCCCAAGACCGCGAGGCCCACCGCATGGCGCCCTCCATCAGCTGAGATTGTTCGCTAATCAGATCTCGCGATGCCGGTGGTATTCTGTTTACATACGGTATTTTTGACCATCGAGATATTACTCTACAGTAGGGGAGCCATGGTAGACATTCATATGTTCTTTGTGGGATCATAGGTGGCATCTTGGATATACGGAACACGGGAACCGTTCCGTATATGACTTTTCCGCGTGCAACACCTATATCACCAATGTATTATATGGAGTAGACCATGCACTGTCCATCGCAGAGTTTTACCTGCCTATTTTACCCAGCCGTGCAGATATGCCGCGTGCAGAGTCAGAGTATACTTTATACGCCCCGGTGATGCTGATGTTGATGATGCCGGAGTCCGGACAATGCCAGCTGAGTCCAGTGGCAACCAGTTCACCGATAGTACCTTTCTATTGTTATACAGACATGCACTGGATATACGACGTTGTAGACTCTGCACCGCCGTGGAAACGGCAACTCCTCCGGAACCCTCTTCTCTGACTATTACTCTGTATGGAGTTGCTCTATTTTCCTGGATAGACATGATCTTCGCAACCTTTCGGAGTGACCGTTTAGACTGTGGACCATTGGGGCTTAGCAGGAATACATACATACTGCCCCGTACAAGTAATGGGCATCTGCACTACGTTTTGCTGCCTCCTGAATCCAATTCCTATACCGTGCAAGTACAGATATGCTGTTTCAACTGCATCAGAATGGATCTCGGGTCCTTTATTCAGCCAGTTGTAGTCGTAGTCAGAAGTATACCAATCCGGACACCTGCAGAATCACACTTGACTCTGTAACTTTGGTCTCTTCTCGTGCTCTGGTAGATCTGAGTCGGGGAAGCCGGACGGACGGTGGCCACTTTGTCCAGAGTACCATACGATCGGGTGAGAGTATCCGTTGAGAAAAATTTGCCGGATATATCCCACTGCTACTATGGAACAGGTATGCCTGTCCATGTTGAAATATAATAATATAAATAAAATAATAATGATGCTATTATAGTAATAATATTTCTATCTACCCGGATATATATGTCATCTAACCCCCGGCCTGGATTCGCGGCGCCATTACTATACAAATCCCTCCCCGCCAGCATCCTCCGATTTCCTGTTTCGGTTATCGCCCCCTCTTTCTCGCTTGTCTCTATTCTTATTTCTCTCTTCCACCTCCCTTCCTCCACCTCTTTCTCTTCTCTTCTATTTTTTCTTTCCGTTCCTCTTTTACATTCTATCCAGCCTACTTTTCACGTCCTCTCTTTTCTTTCTCTTAACGTTGACTCGTTTCGTTCCTTCGCGCATTCGCCCGCACAGTAATTTTGACCCTATACAGTCGCCGTACCCTGTCCTTGGGATCCCTGGTTTACCTACAATTCCAATTCCATTCTGAATCCGTTCCGAAAGCGAATCCATCCTATCCCCCGTGTGGCCAGGCAGCCGATTTTCTCTCGCAGTGATTCGGTTTCGCTGCGCCTAACTGACAATCCGCGATTCGTCTCATCTATACCTGGAACTACGACAGTGTGGGAATAAATTCACTTGTGTATGGGCGAATGTCGCCTTTATAATTAATCGTTTCTTTTCGTTCCTCCAAACAAGACAATTGGTGTCTGCGCAAAATCATTATGCCAACCGTCTTACTTCCTTCGTCGGCCGCTGCCTTCGCGCCTCGGTCGTCGCCAAACGTCGTCTTGAATCGCAAAGTTGAACCATGGCTAACAGCTGCCCTCAAGCGTGTTAACCGGGTCAAGCGTCCACTGAACAATGTCACCCAGCATACGCGATGTCTGACCGAGACCCTGTCGTCGACCAACGCCATCTGGACCCTCTGCTCCATGATGTTCCCCAAAGCCCCCGAGGCGGAGCTTCGCAAGGACGAAGACCCTCTCATTGAGGGGCTGTTCAACTATCAGATGATCCACGTCGAGGCGTACGTTGTCCATGTCGATATGGTGTCGCAGAACGAAGTCGCTTTCAAGTTAACCCCCGAGACAATCGAATCGTTGGTCGACTTCCATCGGGATATCTATTGCGCTGACGCCAATGCCAACACATGGGACTGGCCAGAGAAAGGGAAACAGTTGAAGAAGATGCAGGAGGAGTTCAATCAGGCCGCCAACAAGTTTGTCTACCGTACCAACGCCCATGCCCTTGAAGGGATTGAGGAGGATGGGGCCGGAGAACTACTGGGAGGAAGAAGTGAGGAGGCAAAGAATGCCATCTCGAACCTCTTCGTTCCCTTGCTCCCCCCTCCGCCGCGCACCAATACGATGGACCTGCTGCAACCGACTCCGTTTCTGCCTAGTTCGACGGGTCCCGAGACGTGGTGGCAAGATCTTGTCCCTCAACCGGTTTCCTCCATGTTCTCGTCCGGCGCGACCACAGCCGCCACCACGGCCGATTCGAATCCCAACCTGTGGGCCGGTTTGGGCGGCTTGAATGACCTTCAGTTTGCCTCCCCAACACCGTCATACAGCCAACCCTATACCACAACGGCGCCGTACAACACTACGCAGTACTACCCGACGACAGTTGCTGCCACGACAGCTCCTATCGCCCCGCTTCCGCTTCCCAGTATGCTCGTGCAGCCTTGCAGCACGGCCGCAAGCATGGTAGGCTTCGGATGGGGTGAGCGGTACCAGGATTTCGCGTTGCCGTACGGGGCCACGATGTAAATGTGCCCATGAACCTTGTATGATGCTGTGGAACGGTGTTCCTGACTTTCGCGTGCGTTTTCTTTTTTCGACCAGATCTCGAGGCTGGCCTCAGCAAGCAATCGGATTCGACGTTTCCCAAGCTCATCCGGACCCGAATATTTACGACCATCGCAACGATACGACACCTTTTTCGCGAGACCAGACAACATCAGACTAATTGGCATCATGTTCTTTGACGGCGTTTGATTGATTCTGCGACATTATGATACTCCATCTTGCATTTCAACAGGCATAATCCGCTGCTCCTCTCTCTTTTTGTTTGCGATGTTTTGAATTTGCCCTTTCCTTACGAGCAAGCGCTAGCGTTTTGTTTTGTTTTTGTTTTGTTCTGTTTTGCTTTGCCTTTCTTGATTGCATTAAGAAGCGGCGGGTCGGCTATCTGGTTGTTCTTTTCTTGTTTATCCCGCATAAAGACTGGTGAGCCTCGCGGCTTGGGATATGATTTGGACGAAAGCATGTTACACGATTTCCTTTCTTTGTCGCTTACTTGACAGGTGTCTGTCAGGGGGAAAACACAATGGTTTGTCTGCGACTACTATTAGTGTTTGTCCCTGGTTTCCTGTCGACGCCTTCCTTTCCGGTACAGAGTACTGGACTGGTCCTGGTCCGTTCAATCGGACGGGTAAGGAGGACGGACGAGTTCGTGCGACGACGCAGACTACCTGACATCTGTGATGTCGGGTAGTCTCAATTTTGCGACACACAGCGGGACAGTCGGCGATGCGATGCGACCAAACAGAGCGACAAATGCGAGAAAAAGAGGCACTGCCTGCGCCTGACTCGCAACGCCCGTCCGTGATGGGTCGCGAGTCAGGATATACATATCTGAGCGGTACAAGCGGTCTGTGACCGTACATGTATCGCCCGGTTATCGTTATCCGACGGACAGCCAGTCCTCTCCTCTCTCCTCTCTCCTCTGTCTCTTACGTTTGTTGCCGGTCGCCGACTGTGCACGCCTGTCCCTGTCTATCTGATAGGGTCATCTCCTATCGTCCAGGCTGGATATTTTTTCTTTTGTATGAATTCCTGGGTATGCCCCGTCTTGTTTTAGATTCCCCGGATGGAATCGGCGGAGAATCGGATGCTGGCGATTTGGCGGAGCTGGGCTTCGGATTACTTTCTCTTATTGATTTTTTTGTGATATTGTCCCTCGCTTGTATTCAGGAAATAATGAATATGTTGGAAAGTGGCAATTCTTCTTTTACTAGGTGTAGTAGTGGTGGTAGCGTAGTGGTAGTGATAGGTTTGCCTCGGCATTGGTAATGACATCATGCCAGCTCCCGTAGCATCGACAACAGCGCAACAAACCTGCATCTTTCAAATTGCATCAACATCCGGTTGTGAAGAGGATTGAGGATTTTAAAGGTGCTGTTTTCTTTTTAATATCATTAGTATTTGCACATATTTTACTTGACAACACGACAGCGTCTCCAGGCATCCACATTCGAAGATCACCCGAGATAGTCCACGACGAACCAACAACCAACACCACTCAACCACCATCTACACAATACAACACCAATCCCCCGACACACAGAAAACAAAACAAAAAAAAAAAAAGACAAATGTCCCTCCACGAAGCCCTCCAAGCACTCGGCCCAACAACATGGGACGAAATCCCCAAATCCCAACCTGACCTCCGCGCCTACCTCTCCACCCTCGCCCAACAAGCCAGCACCATCATCGCCTCCGTCCCTGAACCTGCCCCTTCATCCTCGCACGACGACGACGACCACCACCACCACCACAAGAAAGAGCAGCAGAATAAGCACGGGCATGCATATACAGTGACGCCGTCATCCACCCGCCTTGGCACCACAAACCCCGAAATCCTATCGCTGCAGAAACAATGGGGTAAACCGCTTAAACCGGGGAATTCGCGTGATAATCCGCAGGAAATCCCATTGTTTAAGTTGCAGGCTGGTGATGGGAAGGCGACGTGGTTTGGACGGAGGAGTGTGCATGAGGGAATGCCGTTTGGGCGGTGGAGGGGGAAGTTGTCTTCTGAGCTTGAGGAGACGCTGCGGTTGAATGAGGGGAGGGTGGAGAAGGGGCTGGCGCCGGATAAAGTTGTTAGGGGGTTGGGGGCTGCGAGGAGGGTCGAGAGTGTTGATGTTCGTGAAGAGGGGGAGGGTGAGGGGGGGAAGGTGATTGGGGGTGTCAAGGTTTATGATATCTGTGCGCATTTTCCTAAGCCTACTACAGCGAGGGATTTCGTGCAGGTTAGTGTGAGTTGGGAGGAGGGTGTTGATACGCTTGAGAATGGTGATGGAGGGACAAGACGGTGTCGGAGTTGGTTGTCGATTTCAAAACCGTGCACGCATCCGGAATTGCCGCCTCAGGATGGGTATATTCGGGGGCAGTATGATTCGTTGGAGTTTATTAGGGAGGTTCCTCCCGTTTCTTCGGATGATGGGAAAAGTGTAACGGCGAGTGATCCGAATCTCGCCCAGCATGAGGGTATTTCGGAGTCGTCGAGAGACAGCAAGAAGGGGAGGAAGAGGGAGAAGACGGATACTGCTGCGGAAGAGAAACAGAGTGAGGCTGCTGACAGCATCGTTGAAGACAACGAGGCGAACCCCTACCCCGTTGAATGGATCATGGTTACTAGAAGTGACCCCGGGGGAAGTATCCCCCGGTGGGTGATCGAAAAAGGAACACCCAAGAGTATCTGGGGCGATACAGTCAAGTTCATTGACTGGGCTAGTCGCGATGACGAGAAGGATGATAGTAAACCATCCAGCTTGCACAGCGGCGCCAAGGGGTCCAACGTGAACAGAATTCTCAGCAACGAAGACGAAGACGAAAATGGAGAAGACGAGATCCATGAACAAGAACAGCGCAACGGCCTCATCGCCAACTTTGCATATCTGCTAAATGCAGGAATAGAGCGCTACGCACCACAAGCTATTCTCGACTACGTACCCTACCAGCGCAGATCCTCACTCAGTTCTGACTCCGGTTCCGAAGAATTTGACGACGCATTGTCTACAGCAAGCACGCGGTCTAGTTTGAAACGGAGGAGTAGCTCCAAGACTCGCAGGGAAACAGAATCGCAGAAAGAGGGCTCTGATATCAGCCATACCAATATCGCGCCTGTTGATCTAATGCAGATGGATAAGAAAACCGGAAAGCTGAATTCGCATGAGAGACACCTGGCCAAACTTGCACAAAGGAAGCGCGATGTCCAGGCTAAATTGGAGGCTGTACGGACGGAGATTGAAGCCTTGCGGTTAGACGCAAATGCCAACGCTAATGCTTCCGTCGATGAAAAAGAGAAAGAAACAGACAAAGAAAAGGAAAAGAGAGAGAAACGGGAGAGAAAGGAGAAAGAGAAGCAGGAGAAGCAGGAGAGAGAAAGAGAGAAGAAAGAAGAAAAGGAGCGGGAGAAGAAAGAAAAGCAAGAAAAGCGCAAGAGCAGAAAAGCTGGAGAAGAACCTCCCGCCCCCGAAGTCCAAACACAACCCCAACCCGACGGCACAACAGCCCCAGACTCCGACTCCAAAAGCACAACCACAAACAACAACCAACCCCCTTCCGAAGATCTCCCCCGCCCCAGCGAAAAACAAGAACGCCCCAAACACGCCCGCACAGTCTCAACAGCATCGCACCGCTCCGCCGCGCAAATCCACAAAGCAGCCTCCGGCCTCTTCGCCCAAGAATCCAAACTTCTCAAACAACTCGGCAAGATCGAGCAGGATCAACTCAAGGAGGCATCGAAGATCGAAGCGAGACAAAAGAAACAGGTCGAGAAGGAGGAGAAATCACGGTCGAGAATGGAGATGGATGGGATAAAGAAGGAGGTTGATGAGCTGAAGAAGGAGGTTGAAAAGTTGAGGAATGAAAGGCAGCAGTGGCAGGATTTGGTGGCGAGTTTGCAGGGGGAGAATCAGAGGTTAGGGGGGCAGGGGCAAGTTGAGAGTTAGGGTGGTTAAGTGGTTGAGATTGGGGGATGGACTTCTGGGTTTCTTGGATGTATATTTGGATGTATAATAGCGTGCCATAGTATGTATTTGGATTGATATTGTACAGTTTGTTTGATTAAGAAGCGTTGAATACAGATTCCACTCAAACCTTCCAAGTCCTACACGCCATAGTCATAGATACCTCTAAAGCACAACATGAAACATCTTTAGCCACGTAATACGCTGATCTTCTCTGGGTCCATACTCTATAGAAAAGTCATAAGCAATGCAAGCAACAAGAGCCCCTCGATCTCAGTGCCAACCCATGTGCCGACGGCTTCGCGGATTAGAGATTGCCAGCCAGAGCTTTGTCTTTTTCTCGTGCTTCCGCCAGACGCCATTCCAGGACAAACACCGGGTGTTCAACTTGGTGGTCTGGAGTGTTATCTTTCATCACCCTTGCCTCTCTGATACCATATTAGTATCTTGACGGGTCAGACTTGAATCGCCAGTTTGGCCATTGTGATGCTGGAGGTCGTTTTGAGAACGGTTTATATTATCTATGTATGCGTTGGAAACAGGGTATACTTGCTGCAATTGAATACGTAGGAAGGGAAGGCGAGATACGGCGGGATTATTGGCCGTGTTTGGTTCCAATGGCTGGCTTCTTTCTCATCGCTCACTTTTGCATTCCATTCCGGAGTCAGTCATTGCTATATAATACCGGTTCAACGGGGGAAGCAGGTTTTTGAGCAGTAGCCCATTTCAAGCAAACCGCGAGCAAATGAGAAGACATCCCTCAACATTGCCTTGAGGCGATAAACGTTGTATAAGGGGTATCTTTGACTATCAGTTATGGTATTCGTACTAGAGCATGAGTAGAGTGAACATACCGGTTCAAACATCTGATGAGATACATACAGGTGCCACACAAGGTCAAGGTCAGCATGATCGCAGATCATAATTAATGCGAGGATGTTCATGGTTGCCAGTGATTTGCGTGGTGATATTTTTCAAGAAGATCTGAACAGGGATTGAGATGGGCTGCCAGACACGGTATCTGAATTCGGCCGGAACAGGTGAACCACGAGCTCTGGCCATGTAATCTGGGGAAGAGAAAAATGACCCAATAAAAAGATTATCCCGTCGGAGCCTGGATTTGATCGGAGTCGTGTACTGTCGTGATCAGGAGTTCTAACACCGTCATCAAATCGTCGTTTGTCGACAGACAGCCCTTTAACCAAGCAGCTGTTTGTTCGAATTTAGCGAACTCGAGGAGAGGTCAGATCTGCTGCTGGGGTAGGGATTATATGGTGTCGTTCCCTTGATATGAGTCTCGACGGATTGGTATTTATTCAGTAACACCACATTGATGGAGGTGTTCGGCTCTTCTGGCCATCCCACGTTCTTCGCCATCCTTGAGGTCGCACTTCCGAAGCAGCTATCACCGTGTTAGTACCATAATACGAGTTATACCAAGAAAGATGCCATTTGCGTTTCTTCGTATGTCGCATATAGGATGTCGGTCAAACAGCCCAAGCCAGTCAATAACTGACGCGATGGCAGCAAATATGCAGGACAGTATCATGCAACCAGCCCTTTGCTGAATGAGACAGACTCTCCTTTATCCCCAATCATGTGGCGGTAAACGCCATCTGCTCTTGCATCTTATGATAAGCAAGTAGCGCAATAGTGAGACGTCAGGGTCATAAATGTTTTCAATGATTAAATGAATGACAAGTCTGCCAGGGCTTCATCACGCATGCAGCATGTGCTGATTTTATAGAATTCCATTTATGTTCATTTTTGGTGCATGGCAGAGAAATGACCAATCGCAGTTTGTATATGGTAGTTACTAGCTCCCCGTTTGCATTGTCCACGTCAACTGTGTCGAATTTTGCTAGACTTTCAAGTTTCTCATGACGATCTTTGGAAGTTTGTTCGTATACATATCGCGCATGGTAGCCACCTGCTTGTGTAGCTCTCACTGGGTCAGCTCATGAACTTTGTCCAGATTGATTCAACATCGCGATGATGACTCTCTCGGATTTTAGGCTGTGTTCGAGCTGTTTCCAAGGTGCTCTAACGGATATACCAAAAATGCTGAGTTCATATTGCACCCACACAATGTGTGGGGTATCAAAAAGAGGCTTCTCTTTTTGTGCCTCACATGTCCTCCGTATTACAATATTGTCGAGCTCTGCCGTTGTCAGTAAATTGAATTCAAAAAGCCGGAGTTTGTAGTATAAGGCGCCAGTGACTGCCTTTTTTCCTTCCGAATGACATCCTTTTTTGTGCTGCTATGATCTTCATGGAGTTCTTTCATATCGTAGTCGTTGAGCCATGGGTCTTTCGTGGAAAATGCGATATTGGTACCGATATTGACGGCCTCCGGTATTTCCTTGTTAAATGACTTTTGCATTCATGTTCGGGACATTGACATATTGGACTTTTTTTTTTTTTTTTTTTTTTTCGTTCGACCAGTCTGGATGACAGGATGCCCTGCCGTTCACGTAGAAAGCCCTAAGGGACGACGATATTCCTGAAACAAAAACAAACTGGTTTGTGTACTTGGGATCCTGACTTTTTGTAGACAGATGCGACAACTTGTCCAAGTTTGAAAATCGACGGCTATCTGTCCGTGACGTTTTCACAGTTCTGAATGACATAACAGTATTGAAGGCCCAGACGATTACCTTCGTGGAAGGTATTAGAGCAGGCATCGATATAGGTCACGGTAGGATCCGTCGACCGAAATTTGCATCTGACTTCTAGGCAGGGAGTATCTCTCTGCATTACAGTCAACTATCAGGAAAATATCGGCATCGAACTGTAGATGAACATATATGAGTTCAGCTTGGTTCATAGCTGCCAGGCGAACATCACTAAACGCCTGCGTCTCGTTTCCTGGCAAGTGACACCATTTGATGATTACCACGACTCACATAAAACGGCGTCCACCAACAAGCCAGATGTCGGGTATATTCGTCAAGTCTGCGAACTCAGCTCCGAAGTCATTGACAGCTGTAGTCACTGGAATTAGTGCCCGGATAGTCTGAAGTTCGGAGGGAGAGCACTCTACTTACCTGCTCCACCGCATACCCTCAGCATCTGTTGCTCTTGGACACTCAGGATTGTTGCAATTGATTCGGTCCATCGGCAAGCATTTTCAGGGGAGGTTCGAAAAACCTGACATGGACGTCCTTCTGTTTCACTGAATATTTGGACGGAATTGGTGTGGCCCGTTACTCTCAGCAAAAGATATTTGCATGGATCATATACATTAGTCGGCTAGCCTTATGCCAGTCCTCGTTCATCACCATTTCATGCTCGCATCGCCTGCCAATGAGTCTCCCGCAAGAAGGAACCCAATGGCTTAATCTTATCTCAACGACTATCAAACTAGCCACGGCCGCTAGCAGTAATCAACCCCTGAATGCTTATGCAGGATTCAAGGAAAGTTTAGCTTCTCAGTCCCCAGGGTCACGAGCCGCTGTAGTATTAGTGTCATCGATATCCTTGTTATCATATTCCGCGTATCTTATATAACAAGACTTGTTAACATTGCTCTCAGAGTAACCAGGACACGTACCTGGGGTCAATCCATCGATACGCGAAAGAGAACCGCTGCAATGATATTGGTTTCCAGTGTCTGGGCCCAGATCGAGCGACTCATTGTTCCTGTGTATGCTACTGATGCATTTGCATGTCGTAAGCTCTGGTGGGATGGTATTCGGGATGGGGATGAAACCTAGAAGCGGTCCCTGCGACAAATCTAACCTTCTGTCCGTTGAGAGTGGTAACTTGGGCTAGAAGGGGTTAAAGCCCACTTACAGGGCGTATTGGAACGACCACAGTGGGTGCCATATCATCTCAACTTCTTCTGGTCCGGGACAAGCTGACCCGAAAGCTCGACACTGTATTCTTGCGAAAATAGTAAGGTGGTAGGTCCTAGATTGACGATCGCTGGTTTTAGTTGAGCCTATAGCCTATCCTCAGAGTCTTATATAAAAGGCGTAGAGCTGAGCCTTCTGCGTTAGACATGTGACAGTTTAGTCCAGGTATAGGATAAAGATATCCGGGGATTTTATGGATGATATTGAGATGGATGAGAATATGAGTGCAAGCTGTAAAAGTAGGGGAGTTGGAAGTTGGGATTCATCTATTTCTCTTCTCATAAGTGAATCATTATTATATTATGATCGATAGATATTCACTGGTATAGTAACAGACAGATTCATCTGCAGAAAAGCGCACACGGACATCAATTTCGCCATGGGTATATTCTTATGCAGTATCCCTTCCCTTCTTGACTTGAACCATACAACCCCAGGCGCGAAAAAAGCACCCAGGACAGCTGAACGATATCCAGACAGATAACGAGCCACGAATAAATATACTTCCGTCCACGTAGGCTCTCGCGGTGGGACTATTTCGAGGTATATGGCAGGATCCGATTCGCAATGTGAGGTTATCGGCTTGTCTCGACGACCGCGGTGTCGCAAATAAGTAGGACACTAAGGGGTACGCGCGAATTCGACTTAAACAAAACACAACACTCGACCTAATTATTCCTGCGTCTGCACCACCGCATTAGCCCAATCCAATCTACCCTCCCCTCTCAACCAAAGACGTAACCTACCTCAGGCGGATTCCCAGCCCCCCTAACCATCTTCTCAATCATCTGCCCGCGTACCTTCTCCTTCGACTCGCCCAACCCCACAGCCATATACGACAGCATCGGCGGATGCCCGATGTACGACGCGTAGCTGTCGCGCACGATGTTGGAGGTCCAGTCGTACTTGGTGGTGTCGGCGTGGCCGGTGCCGACGTAGCGGGCCTGCATGGCCTCGAGGTTTTGCATCGTGCGGAGTTTGTCGGCCATTTTGGTGGTTTTCTTTTTTTATTGGGCGTCTTTTGAGTGGGAGTTGTTATTGTTTGGATGGTTGCGATGGGTTGGTGTGGTTGATGGTGGTTTGCGATAAGGAAGTTCCAGAACAAAATTGAATATCACGTGACCTCTATAAAAAGAAATCTTTAACGATCGCAAACCTCTTCTACATCTATACATCAAGCGATATGGACTCAAGCACATTATCCTCTCGAATAGCAACTCTAGTCCACGAGCATTTCGATGCCTTGCCCCCGCGCAGCAAACCAACCATCCACCCCGATGGATCGCGAGAATGGATCCCGATGACGGGAATCGTCGTCGTAAAGGGTACTCCTAGAAAATAAATCTAGATATCTCAAGACCTAACTGATCAAGAGACTAAATAGGAGAAAACACACAATCAGAAAACCTAACCTGTGTGGCTGTCACGTACGTCCATGTCCTCTCCCCAGTAGCATAACAAATATGTTAACAAGACTCCCAGAACCGGCGCGAAATGCCTATCCGCTTCTCAAATCCCACAATGCAGGGGCCTGGTGCTTCATGACTGCCACGCAGAGATACTAGCTATCCGCGCATTCAATTACTGGCTGCTAAATGAATGTCGTGGTGTGTTGGGTCAGCTGCCATCGCCATACGTCCGCCGTCGCCAACACCAAGATGTGGATAATGAATGGCCACCTTTAGAACTCTACCCCGATATTAAAATCTATATGTATTGCACCTGCGCTCCCTGCGGCGACGCAAGTATGGAGCTTTGTATGGCGGCGCAGGAGGATCCCACGCCATGGGAGCTGCCACCAGCACCAGCACCAGCAACTACACTAGCCTCAGCATCAACCAACACAGCCAATACCACCGATACAACAACACAAGATGCCCTCATCGGCCGCGCCCACTTTCAACTCCTAGGCGTCGTCCGCCGCAAACCCGCACGCACAGACGCAGAGTCCACACGCAGCAAATCATGCTCTGATAAACTAGCGCTGCGGCAGGTCTCCTCTTTACTATGCCATGAGACGAGTTTGCTGATTGCGCCGACGGCGAATGTCTACCTGGCTGGTATTATATTGCCAGAGGAGGAGATTAGTCGGGTTGCGTGTGATAGGGCTTTTGGGGCGGGTGGGAGGATGGAGGCCCTCTGTGGGCGGGGGTGGCCTGTTACTACTCATCGAGAAGAGGATGGCTCGGGGTATGGATATCGTTTCCAACCGTTCCGGATTCTTTCTATTCCCAGTGGCCAAATCGACCGTCTCTACCCCTTCCGCAAACCACCACCCTGTCCATCAGATGATAAGCCAAGCAAACCAAAAACAAAACCAGGCAACGTATCAGCTATCTGGACAATTGCGCCATCACACGCCTCTCCATTGCCAGATCATAACCCCAAGTCATTGCCGAAGTTACGCGGTTCGAACACGGGGCTTTACGAGACGGTGATTAATGGCGTGAAGCAGGGGAATCGGGCGTCGGCGCCGTTGGCGAGGGGGGCGAGTGCGTTGTGCAGGGCGAGGTTGTGGGGGGTCGTTAGGGATGTTGTTGGGGCGGATAGCTGTGAAGAACATGATATGTGGAAGGGTGTGCTTGGGGCGTCGGCTTATGATGAGTTCAAGGGTGTACCGGAGTATGTTGGAGGGGCTGTAAAAGCGAGAGGACAGGCTATTAGAGATGCCAGGGAGGTTTTGAAAGGGTGGGTTCCTAATACTGGAGATGAGGAATGGGGATTGGATGTTTTGACTGATCCGAAGAAGCAGAAGCGTTCGCATTAAGATACATAGATTATGAATTATATTAACGACAAAGATTAAACCAAGTATTAATGGCACAACTTTTGTCTCCTGGCAGACAGCTGAACTGAAACCCATAGACAAGAACTGAAAAGACCCTATCCCATACCCGTTGACTAGTAGATACCCGGGACGATCCGACTGCGAACCAACGACGTATACCGATCCCAGTCAGCTCCATACTTTCTCTTGCACTTTTCCTCATCCCGCATCTCACGGTGAACAAGCAAGACACCAAAGTACAGCATGTAGAAGTATGTAAAAACCATACCCCACCCACGAGCCTCAGGAGTCTGCACAGCCTGCTTCTGCACAGCACCAGTAGCCGGGTTCACGCTCTGCACCATAACAAAACCAGCAACACCGGTGGGCAGGCAGTAAGCCCATGACATAGTCCAGTCACCCAGGTAGTTAATGTGGCGAGCAAGACCCCACCAGCCGGAGATCATGAGCTTGGAGCCGCTCTTGGTCTCGATGTACTTGAGGTTCTTGCAGCGGGGGTCGTTGGGGTTCGTGCGGAAACGGTTCTTTTGGTTGTTGGCGCCGCGGAAGATCGAGTAGCCGATCGCGGTGACGCCGAGGACCATGGCGAGACCTTGGAGGCCGAGCTCGAAGGGGAACATGGCGAGGTAGCGGGTTTGGAAGTTGTAGATGAAGGGCACCCAGACGAGGTCTCCGAAGGAGAGCATGAAGCCGAAGCCGTCCATGATGACGTCCATGGTGGTCAAGAGGGCAGGCTCCATGTAGAGGCCGTCTAGGACGTAGAAGGCCTGGAAGACGGTGACCAGGACGATCGAGTCGGTAATGTAGCCATATTCTCGGTACTGGCGGGCGATGTTCGACAGGTTCAGGATGATCCATCCCAGCAGACCGGGTCTCATCTCGTTCCAGACTTTGATGTCGATGGTGCGCGAGCTCTCACTGACGAACGGGATAGGCAACCGTATACGGGGGTTCAGTTCGCGTCCGATGAAGAAGTCGTACAGGACGTTGCCGGTGTGCCCACCAGGAGCCAATTGTCGGAGTTCGGGGTTCTTCTCACCGGGAGAGGGAACGGTGAAGCTCATAACGTAAACGAAGACCGCGATCACGGTGCAGATCACCAGGTTGGCCGTGATGACCTGCAGGTAGTTGTCCCACAGGAAAGTCCAGACTACGAAATCCGCCCCGTGCAAGTATGTGCCAACACCACAGCCCGAGAGAATCAACACGGCCGATAAGAAGGCTGCACGCGTCAGTTATGGCTTGTAATGGATAATTGGAGAGAGTATACCATTGAACTTGTAATTGTGTCTTCCTCCGCAAGCCAACTCCGTACCCTCGACCTCATGTCCGGGCAGAAACACGTACAACAGAAGACTCAGCACATAATAGCTCAGTACCCCCAGAGTGACCTGTGTATCATAAAACGCCGCGATTCCTCCTTCCGGCCAGCCAATTTCTTGTTTCAACGCATCGAGGGTCAGGGAGGATGGGTGAAGTAGCGAGGGCGCAGGACAACCGGAGACATCGTTACAGAGAAACGTGAAGCCGTAGATCAGAACGGGAAGACCAAAGATAATCCCAGAAGCTCCGAGCCTATCAAAAGCGCAATGTCAGCTCTATTCCTCGGGGTCTCGATCTCGATCTCAAGAACACGTACGGTCCACCGAACTCATAGCCGCGCTTCTCAGGAACAGGCTGAATGGGAATTCCAGATTTGGATTCCTTGGATGGCATTTTGAAATGAATTACCGGGAGATAGTAGTAGAATGCGCTCTCCGGGTAGAATTGGTAATGGAGAGGATGTTGTTGGGAGTGACGACGGATGATTTAAATCTCGCGGATTTCGGCCGGAGCTTCTCCGCAATCGTACGTCTTTGGACATTCCTTCTCACTCTATCACGACTACTCTGTCTCGACTTTGATTCTTCCATTTCTGATACAGAGATTAATAATCTCATCTATATCGCTTCTTTTATCTCTCGAGTATTCACTGATTGTCATATCGATCACCCTGCCGTGTCGTGGTGATCCAGATCGCCATGAAGCTATCAACCAGCTCGCTCATCCAGAGCGCCCTCCTCTTAGCAGCATCTTATATCCCAGTTACTGCAGCCTCGGACTTGGAATCCCTCGCCCCCTGCGTTGCACGCTCTCCAACCACCGGCTTGTACTACGACCTGAGCGCGATCTCGTTAACCCCGCCCGAGTCGAAAGATGGAGAGAAGACACACAAGGGAGGGCCGGGGGAGAGTTGGCACGCCAGGGGCCATGACTACCCGTCCAATTTTACGATAAATATCTGTGCGCCGGTGGTTGAGGAGCTCAAGGATGTGGTGGGAGTTGAGAAAGCACGTTGGAAGAATATCAGTGCTTATTACGAGTTGGATGGAGAGGTTTATTCGATTGGGTGTGTATCCATTACCCAGCTACAATCAATGTGAAGAGAGGCGCTGATAGAACTGGCAGACAACAAGCTTCCGATCCCTTCTTCCGTGGCCGCAAACTCGTTCTCAACTACACTGATGGCTCGCCCTGCTCCAGTGATTTCTCAGACGATAATACCCGAACCAAGTCCTCCATCATGTCCTTCCTCTGCGATCGCGACGCCCACGCCTCTCAAACGGCCGTATCCTACGTCGGCACAATGGACGAGTGCACATACTTTTTCGAAGTCCGGAGCTCAGTTGCATGTGGAGGCATGGCCCCGGGTCCGGATGGCCAGGGACTAGGGCCCGGGGGTGTGTTTGGCGTTATGTGAGTTGACATTACATACATCTCTGGGTATAAAGAAGCTGACAGGCATAGTGCCCTGATCGCCGTCGCAGTATACCTACTCGGAGGCTGCGCCTACCAACGAACCGTCATGCACCAGCGCGGCTGGAAACAATGCCCGAATTACAGTCTCTGGGCAGGCATGGTGGACTTTATCAAAGTAAGTATCCTGGCGCTGATACCGTTCCGGGGTTTGTTCTCGTCCAGACGTCGTGGCCGAGGCTCTTTTCAGGAGTATGGAAATGCAAAGTTACCGGTTTCGAGGGTGGATTAAACTTGGATATCTTGTCTTGGCTGGTCTAAGCTAGATACATTGAGCTATACGGAGTTGGCCTGTGTTGAACATGGGTGTTGCGTGACTTCCTTGGAACCTGAAACTGTTGTACTTGCATAGCGACTACGTCTGTATAGACTGTCAATAACCACGTCTGGACATTGGACTTTATCTTCCCCTCTCCCTCTCTATTATTAGATCTAACTGTCACTGTCACCGTTTCAATCATGAAACCCATTTTAAACGCCATTACTCCAACAAAACTAACAATATTTTTTTTTTCAAACACAGGACATGGCTATCATCCTCTTCTCATCTCTAGGCAACATCTTCCGCCTCAAACGACCCTCCAGCGGCTATGACCGAATGAACGGCGGCGCAGCCGACACTCGTCGTGGCAGCTTCGTCAACCGCGGAGGCCGGAATGACCTGGACGCCGAGAATCGATTGATAGACCAGTTGGACGAAGAGTGGGAGGATTAAAAACACATCACTGTGAGTGTGTTTGGTTGGTCGGTCGGTTGGACCTAAGGTAGGACTTCTGCTGTATCTTTTCCCGTCCAAAGCAATTATAGATGGACACCGCGTGTATCTGGATATCTATTTTTTCAATGAAATGAAAATCACCATCACCATCACCAAATCAAATCAACTTATCCATTCTCAACATCCCTAATCGCAGACTCAATATCCGCATTCTGATGCCTCTTGCGTCCAAGCAGCTTACTCCTCAACTTCATCTTCTTAATCAAAAAAGCACGCTTCCGTCGTCTCGGCGGGTAATTCACCAGGCTTTCACCACCCGTAAAGATGAACAGATCGTAAATGAACGCGCCAAACAGGCCGCCCGTGATATCAGCGACCCAGGAGCCCCATATCCACCACGCGTGCTGCTGCGTGAAGAGTCGTCCGCCGTAGCCGGCCATCAGGGCGAAGAGGCGTGGGCCGAAGTCTCGGGCGGGATTGAAGCAACTGTTCCTGTTAGCAAAACTACCCTTTATATAAAATAGGGAGGGTTAAAGCGTACCCTCCAGTATTATACCCCAACGCAACACACAAAATCATGACCAACAACCCCACCAAAAACGCCTGCATACCCGCTCCCGGCGGCGCATTGGTGTGATCGCCCAGCGCGAGAATCGTACAAACAAGAATCCCCGTCCCAACAAACTCATTAAAAAACGCCGCCGCAGGATGAACCCACTCCTTCGGCATCGTATAAAACACACTATCCATGATTTGCGATGGCGTTTGCTGATTGATGCTTGCGGCGTAGTGGATGGAGTTGTAGTATATACCGTACGCGATACCCCCCGAGGCTAGCGCGGCGAGGATCTGCGCGAGTATGTACTGCAGACACATGCGGACGGGAAATCCTCGGAAGACGGATAGCGAGATGCTGATTGCGGGATTGAGATGGCCTCCGGATATACCACCGGCGACGTAGATGCCGACCATGAAGCCGAAGCCCCAGGCCCAGGATTGGGATTCGAAGGTGCCGGCTTGTTCTTGGGAGGTTACGCGGGAGAGGGAGGCGCAGAGACCGATTAGGAGGGCGATTGTTGCCTGTCGTGTCAGTGTATTTTTTACATAAATTCATATAGGTGTAGGGAACTCACTCCAAGTAATTCACTCAGAAACTCGCGGAAGATATTCCGGATACGACCCCATGTATTAAAAAAGTCACCATGCTGCGGCTTCGACACTTTATGCGCTGGATCTTCCTCCTTCCCTTCTTTCCCAAGCTCTCCGTCAGCCTTCTCAGGCGATGTAGCGGTTTGCTGTGCTTCTTCCGGCGTTCCCTATACATCATTAGTCCTCATCCCCATGATACCCAGCAGTAGAATGAACATACAGTCTGCGTCGCAAAAACCTCCTCCCCCCTCTCCCCCCTCATCCTCATCCCGGGCCTAACAACCCTAGGAAACGGTTGCGCCAAACTCCACAGTGGCTCATCATGCGGCTTACCATAACCCGGGTTATTCTCTCGGTACTCCGGCGAGACATACACGCTCTGCGGATTATTGTAGGGACCCGCGAGCGAGAACTCCGGATTTGTACCCGTAGCGTCTTCCTTCTGGTGGTCTTCTTCTGTTAGGGCAGCGGGTTCGTTGAGGGTGTCGTGACCGGATTCGCGGTTGGCATTGGCATTGTTGACGTTAGCAGTGAGATCATGGCCTTGAGATTGGTTGTTGAGACTGTGCTCGTTGTCTGTAGAGGGATTGCCGCTTCGTGGACCGGTGGAGGGTTCTTCTGGGCTTCCGGGTCCGCTTCCGCGGGAGAGTGTGGTTTGTTGTTCGGTTAAGGGCATTGTATACAGCACCAACAACAACGAAAACTAACAACAAACAAGAAAATGCAGAAACAGAAGCCGAAGCACAACCGCAACTGTTAAGTATGTCCTCACAAATCCATTTCAGTCTGGTGGCGCCGTTGAAGAGCTTGGAATACTACTCCAAAGCCATGATATCAACAATTGCGTCACCATGAATGGAAAATTCCAAGGAATAGTAGAAAACACAGTACAGGATATCATAAGTGGAGCCGCAGACCCTGAAAGACCTTCATGCTTGCCAGTCTAAAGCAGGGAAAGGGCGTTGTTGTTGCGTACTTTGTCTAAAGAGGAATTCGTCGAGGTTGAGGGTAAGGTGACATGTCAAATGCCGGGTTGGCCCTTGAAGTCTCGGACAAATGACTACACAAACCATGTTAAGCAATTAGAGACAGACGGAAAAAAGAAGGAAAAACTTGTATTTTTTCGCCTCTTGACACATTCGAAGAATTTTCCATCTTAACCGAATTTTTTTTCAAGCGGATACTTTTTCCATCCATTGCCACATTAGGAAGTCGGAAGGACTTGATCCACAGCAGAAAAAACAGGGAATCCACTATCGAAGTTTATCGGAAGTCAAAAAACCCTATTATATCATTCTTGGCATGCCGGGACGGGTTCTCCGATGCGAGATTATCGGTATGTTGATTGGATTAATGTATAGCGACACCAATGGAATGCATTGACTACATGTCTATTATTGTGACATTGCTCATGTTTTCATGACAACGTCAAATCCCTGGGGACATCAGCAGTACTATAGCAGCTACTGTAGTAAAGACGCAGCTCGCGAGCGACATGGCTCACTCAACAAACAAGAAAGCGCTACCACTTGAAACGATGGCTTGCGCATATCAGAAGCTGAAGATATGGCCCATAACGCTCCATCCCTGATCCAATCCACGGCTGAGGCAGTTGCGACATTTGAAAGGAGGCAAGAATAGAAAGATACACGCAGAGAATGGAGCTGAACTTTTCATGACTTAGGATAAATTGCTTCAAGTATACCTTTTATATATCTTGGGATATGTCCTTGGCCCATGTCAATTCGCACTCGTATCTTCGGTGATTCCAAACTCTCCGAGTACCCCCAAAAACCCGCCCATGCCTAGCAGATTTTACTTTATCAAGATGTAAACCTCTCTTCAAAAGAACCCGCACAATATCTGCTTCTCCATACTCTGCTGCCATTCCTAGGAGCCTTGAATTAACAGGGTGAACTATAGCTCCCTGATCTAAAAGCAACTCCACAATGTGAACAAAGCCTTTCCGAATTGCCAAAGAAAGAGGACCATCCCATCCACCATCAATATCGGCCCCATTTTGCAATAACAACGAAATCATTTTGTTGTGGCCATTATAAGCATCAAATCCTAATGATGTAGAGAATGCAAGATCATGATACCCATGATTGATCTGCGCACCATTATTCAGTATTAAAGGGATGGTCTCCGTTTTGTCATGGAATGCCGCGAATCGAAGCGTACAGCCCCAGAGGGCTTGAGGTGATCTTTCAGAAAGAGTGCTGTAATCGGCACTTGCAGCAAGAGTTTCCAGAATCTCAGCATTTCCTCCCTCAGCTGCAAACACAATTGCTCTTCGGTAGGTAAAGTGTGATCGTGAGACCCGAAACTTTGGTTGTAGAAGAAGCTGCAGTATCTCTTTATGACCCTTTTGTGCTGCTGCTTCGATAGCAGTAAGGGCTCGATGATAAAAGTCGGGGAGACAAAAATATTGATCGATTTCCTCCTTTCCATATCTCTTCTCCACTACCTGTCGGTCCTCTTCAGCTCGGGGCCAGATCTCGCCCTCAGGATCTGCTCCTTTGTTAAACAGGAGCCGGACAATGTCCAAATGTCCTCTTAGGGCAGCATTTTGCAATGGTCTACCAAATATATTACTGCTTGCATTTGCATCCACACCCTGTATAAGGAGATGCTCGACCAGTAAGATATCTCCAAGGTAGGCTGCTGCAGATAAAATGTGCTCCAGTGCATCACTAGTCTGGCCAGCTCCATGTCGCATTGACTGATCAAATGAATACTCATCAAGGCTGTCAATGTACCATAGGTCATCGCGACTGGGTGGTTTGACTTCACTGGTACCTTCCCCTCGGAGTATCCAGACTAACCCAGGGATGGAGTCAGCGGCTGCTCGTGACATATCTGATAGTACGCTTGAGATAGTTGTCGCTTGAGATAGTTGTCGCTTGAGTTGGGGCTGAATACCCAGCGTCGGAGGTAGCGAGATATAGAACCCAGATTGTTAAAAGCAAAGGAGTGGTGGGTAATGCAAAGAGCTTCCGTGACTTCTTGATAGAAGAGCTCTAGACAATCAATATTATGTCGAAGAATAAGAGATCTTAAAGGGATCCTCACTGTTAACAAGTTGGAGTGCTTTGATATCACAGCTGTGTTGTCCAGAATCTGGTATAGAAGCAACAAAAGTCTTGACAATTGAATTAAATATTTCAGGCGGTAGTTCAAGAAGATTCATACTGAAAGTAATGGGCCAAATTACTTTTGCTGTTGCAAAGAATGAACAATTAGAACAAAAAGGTAATAGATCCAAGAGGAAGTAAGAGAAGACTCGAAAAAGGTGAAACGTTGTCTATGTATAAATAAACTTCTAATCTGCGGCGGTGCAATGGGGCTGTGTTGCCCTCTCAAGACACTGAAACCAGCCCTGCGTACAATGCTTCTAGTATTGAGAGGAGTATTCCGGGGATGGTGATATACTGAAACCTCCTAACCACCACCAAGTTGTTTTGTCCAATAACCCACGAGACCCCTCTAGCGTGCCGTCGCACTGCCAGTGTTCGTCACGAGAGCCATAAGCCTGTCTGCAATATCAAGTGCAAACCCATCGTCATTTATATCTCGCTCATCCGATACTACTCGAACTTGGCTGTCCTTTGAACCGGATCGCAGGGTATCAGCAAGGGCAGCATCGACGTCGGCATCTGCAAATGCTGACCCTGCTGTCCCAATGCTACTCACTCCTCCCCCAGGAAGCCACACCTCGACCATACTTCGGTCCTGGGCAAACCGGTCTAGTTTGTCGAGAATGAAATCCCCGACCTTTCGGCATTCAGCTGCAGAGGTTCGCATGAGGGTGACATTCGGATTATGGACTAACAGCTTGCGGTCGCCGTACTGGTGTGGCACCGTGTCGGCCGGGCCAAAGTTGACCATGTCCGTGGCTCCAACGGAGATGATATTGGGGATCCCGCGCCGTAGCGTCGTCTCCAGGCGGCTGGTGTCGCAACTCATGGTCCCGCCAGCGATGAGATCGCAGATTTCGGTCGTTGTAATGTCCAAGATGGCGTCTAGACGACCCTCCTCCACCAAGCGCTCCATGGCCTTTCCCCCATGACCGGTGGCATGGAACACGTAGACTTCCACGGAATAGTTGTCTTCCAGGTGACGTCGAACACGATCCACACACGGGGTGGTCACGCCGAACATGGTAATACCGACACGAGTCTTTTTGTCCTCTGGCCAGTTGTCCTGCGCACTCCGCGTGCGGTTTTCGCCCAGGCGATATTGATATGTCGATGCCATGCCAAAGATGGCGCCAGCTGCATTCCCTAGCACCTCGCGTAGGAGCCGGTTGGTCCCCGCGATGTCCACGACCGAGTACATCAGGGTGATATCGCATTCGCCCACCACCGGGCCTGTATTCCCAGACGCGATTGTGCTGACAATCAGTTTGGGGAGGCCAATAGGTGCGGCCGTTCTCATCACGGCGGAGATCAGACTGGTTCCTCCACTGCCGCCAGTGCCGATGATGCCGTGGATCTCCGCTGTTTGCAATAATTCGGTGACACACCTAGTGACGCAGCTTATGAGGAATTCAATCGCTTGGCCCCGGGGCAGACTCAATAGGCTGGTGCTGTCGCCGGGTGCATACTTGGTTAGCAGATCGGTGTGGCTAATGGTGATGGCGTCGTCGGTGATGGCTTGACGACCGCAGTCAATCAAGGTAATCTCTAGGGGCGTTGAAAAGCGGGCGGCATTCTGCTGTAGCTGGTTGTAGAGATATAGGACCTCTGCACGCTTGGTGTCGAGGGTTCCCAAAAGGATGATGTGTGGCATGGTGGATGGGCTGGTGGAAGACTATACTAACTAGAATAACCGCGAGAATTTACGGAATTGGAATTTAATTGAACTGCAACAACTGCGTGCTCCAGGTGAAGCCCCGTATTCGGTAAAACCATTGCGGCAAGAATGGGCTCACTTGGATGTCAGTGGCAAAGAACCGGGATCCGGAGTTATCCCCGCCTTCTCCGTGCATCCATCTCCGCCCCTGGACTGCAACCTCGTCCAGCCAGACCCCCAAGCATTCTCTGCATCCTTCTATCCACTATGTCCGCTCACCATCCGCGCCAGCGTCTTCCGGTCTCCTGTGAGCCGTGCCGCGTTCGCAAGATCCGATGTTCCCGGGATACCCCCCCTTGCGGCACTTGCGTACGGCGTCGTGTTCCGCCGGAGCAGTGCGTCTATAGTACCAGGAGACAACCGATACCCTCACAACAACAACCGCAACAGTCTCAGCCGCAGCCTCAGCCACTGGAAAATAGCTCGGCATCTCCCGACACCCCTGTCCAACCCCGCTATCACGGTCCCGCCGGAGAGCCCAATCCTGATCTCGTAGCTCGGATAGAAAAGCTGGAGCAGTTGTTGCATGCAAAGGACCAACCGCAAGAAAAAGCACCACGTCCGCCAAGTGTTCCCCAATTGGATCCAGAGCTATAAAGGAGGCGGAAATCAGAGCCAGCGACAGCTTTCGCGGGCACCCTCATCTCGTCCACTTCGGGGCATGTGCGCTTCCTCCCCATTAACTCCGCCTGGCGCATTGTCGATCGAGCCTCTCTAGAGGGTCCCTTTCCGAGCCAGGAGAGTGCCGCGGCTGATACGCCCAGCGGACCATATCCTTTCGGCGAACACGACGCTGAAAACAGACCCAATCTCTTAGCAAAGCTCCCCCCGACGGAGTATTGCGACCAGTTAACGGATGTCTATTTCCAGTCGTTTGCGCCCGTAAGTTTCTCGACTCCCAATATTATCAGCGTGGCTGAAAAGTAACATAAGAAAGCTCTTTCCTATCATACATAGCCCTACGTTTCACGAGCGGTACCGTCAATTTTTCAAGGATCCAGATCAAGCCCCGCTAGGATGGTTTGCTCTCCTCTTTACTATTCTGGGCACTGCTGTTCTCGCGGTTGAACATGACAGCCGTCTGCTTGAGGCTCTTAGCCGCAAGAATACCCCTTGGGACCGAGTCACAGAGCTCTCGGAGCGGTATTACACTGCGGCGATGAAATGCCTCGAAGCAGATCGCTATCTCTGGCGACATAACGTCTCGACACTACAGGCACTACTAAACCTCATCTATGGGATTCACCATAGCCATGGCCAAACATGGACTCTTCTGGGGCTGGTCTATCACATGGCGCTCTCGATCGGTTGCCATGTTGACCCGGCCGCGTTCTCCTTAGATATTGTTGAAGCTGAGGAACGTCGCCGCTGTTGGCTAGGCCTGACGACACTGCTCTGTAATCAGAATATGGCAATTACTGGGTTTGACATCTATCAGTCGGTATTCTCATCGCGTGTCCTACCCCCCGCCGAGGTGTGGGATGAGGACATTGTCCAGGGACAGCCAGGACCGATCGCACCGTCGGCAGGCATCAAACCCGTCTCATATCTCATTCGAAAATCGCATCTTTATCAGATATCTTCGAAGATCTGTAATGCCGTTCTGGTTGCACGGTCGGACGATCCGATGGTTCTCCGCCCTCTGGACGCGGCCATCCGAGCCGAGTTAGACCCCCTGGAGCAGAGTTACGCCTCGATGCTTGGGGCCAACTCACCGGTTGTTCATATCAATCTACTGCTCAGTTTTGCCCACCACCTGGTCCTCCTTCTCCACAGTGATATACTGAATGAAGTGTCCTTTTGTCAGTCGCAGCATAGCCGGTCGAAGCAACGCTGTATGGAAAGTGCACAACGTGTCTTAGAACTCCATGCCGACTTCCACAATCTGCCCCAGTTCACGCCCTTCCACTGGTATATCCGGGGCCGGGGCGCTTTCCACGCTTTCCACGCCGCGTTCGTCCTGGTACTCATTCTTTCTTTAGAGCCCCAAGGACCCCGTCCCTCATATGTGGTGCGGCTGCTGCACGATTGCCATGCTCGGCTCGCGGCGTCAAAGGCGCAGAGTCAGTTGTGCACCCGAACTGCAACAATTCTCGGCCAGATGTTGTAAGTCGCCTACCGCGTGGGACATATGTTGGTATTCAGAACTGACGGACAATTCTCTAGGTCCAGCAGGTGGGTGGGTACCCCAGGGCTGGTGTCCGGTGGTGGCACGTGCACCCCAGTCTCACAGGGCGCCAAGTCAAATACCCAGATGAACCCCGTCGAGCAGTCCGTGAATTTTAGCAATGACCATGCTTTCACTTCGGACAGTATCGGTTTCCCCAGTCTGGCCCGGCAGATTGAGCCGCAGCAGTGGATCAACCCGCTGAACATGGATTGGGACCAGTGGGATCTGATTATGGCTTCATTGGGAACTACATCTTGATCTGCACCGACTAGTGTCCATTGCACTTTGTGAATTATTAAATTCGGAATTGCACAAAATCAATATTAGACCCACTCGGCTAGATATGTGAAATTGTAAGACGGCAGATGAAGCGCCAGCAATGTCCCGCTATCCTGTGTCAGGAATGGAATCTCTGCCCCGTCCACCGCGAACTCCGCCCTCCGCCCTAGTTCTCTGCCTCCGTCTCCGTCTCCGTCTCTGTGACCCACGGTAAATCTACCACAGACTGCCGGGAATTGAGTTAAAGTATATATCAAGGGCGAGGGATAATGATGAAAGATGCTTGATTCTGTAAAATGTGGTCTGAACGGCACAAGGCTATCGAGTCAGTAGAAGTAACTCTCTGAACGGCCTCCTCTCGTCCGCTGGCACGGTGAATTCGGGTCCTTGCATCCCAAGATCTCTCTCCTCTGCCACCAGCACCAAACTATCTACCGAGGCGGAACGAAGGGGTGGCTCAGGATTAGGGTCCTCTGATCCCCTGCTGTTGAAATGGGAAGCCCACCATTTCAGGAAACAGACGGAAGATCCGAAATTACCCAATGCAGCTGTACCTGCACCTGACCATCAGCGACCCAATTGTCATGCTACTTGCACTGTATTTGACAGTTGTCTACATCATCCTGTTCACCTTCCCGGATGGATACGCATACCTCTTTCAACAGTCATACCGCTCTCCCAAGGACTCACCGGCATAATGCTCGGCGGTGCCATGATCCCGCTCATCTACCGATGGACCAAGCAAGAGATTCAAGGCCACAGGTTAAACAAGTACTCTTCAGCCCGAGATCCGGCTGTGTGCGATAATGGCCGCCTCGGCGTTGGCCTTCATGACCATCTCACGGTACTCTGCCGCGGGCGGGCTCACGGTGGCCGGCATCTCGTTCTATGAGAACGGGGGCGTTCACTGGACACTGACGATCCTATGTCTTAGCTCCATGATCGTCCCGGTTCCTTATATCTTTTATCGACCCGGGCCGAGGACCCGGAAACACGGCAAATCTGCTGTTGCGGAGAAAAAAAAAGAAGGATGTCGTCCTGTAGTTAAATGTCTGCTATGTGTATATGAGATATTATATAGATTAATGTGGACTCGTGAAGCATATATGTAATGTTGCCTAACCTGGTGGATAATCACTCGGCCGAGTGATATTAATAGAATCCAGATTTCCGGCGCCAGTGACGTCAGCACTACTAGTCGAGCTCGTGCTCCCATTGAATTCGAAGGTCCAGCGCGACTCTATAATCTATATAAGAAAGCGGAGACATCCGAACGACCTGCACAATTGGGGAAATAATCGCAATGGCCAACACAGTCGAAGTATCAAGGGCCTCGGAGCTCGACGAGCAAACCGGTAACAATGAATGCGCTGGACAGGTTCAAGGGATTACATGCTAATACAAGCGTCTCCACAGGAGGATGGACACAAGGCATGGTTCGGAAAGGCGCGATTGTCGACAAATCGGATAAGATCTGCTCTCTAGGTTTGTCTCGCCGTTGGCTATAGGGCCAATTGCCTGGGAATTCTTCCATAAATATCAACCCTAATCTTGCCATCCAGTGATGGAGGCGCAGGCCCATTCCTGCTCTGCAGTGCACCACCACGGCAACCAGGACACTGTTGTGTATGCCGCGCATGGCTACGGTAGCATTGTCTTTGATGGAGGAAAGCGGCGAGAAGACCTTTCGCCCGGTGATTTCGCTCTTATTCCTGCGTAAGATCTGCATCGTTGTCAGAGTACAGAGCGTGTGATAGATGAGTAACTATGGCGCAGGTATGCTGAACATCAGGAAGTCAATGAGTCCGGCGCAGAGGTGAAATGGATTATCACACGGACTGGACGAAAGCCGGTAACTGTCAACTTGGAAGGATGGGGGGAGAGTGCCAAATAAAGGAGTTGGATTTTGGGTGTATCCTAGGGAGAGTTTCTGACACATAAGTACATTGAGGTATACATGGATATCATTTGTGCTGAGCTACTAGATTTACCTATACATATCGATATTGTAAACTGTACTAATACTCGCTGATGGATCATTTGTTATGTTACAAATAAATAAGATTTGTAGAACGGTGACGTGAATTGGTAAATGTTGTAGAGCTTTCCAATGAATCCAAAACGATACAAGAACCCAGTAAAGGCTTTAATCATACCCAAAGTAGAAAGCCCAAAGGCCAGCACGAAATAACAAGAACAGTATTTCCAATCAACCAAAGACGATCCCATCAACATGAACTCGTATTGTCGAGTCAAACCTAGCCTACTGGCTGTCGGACATGGGGAATGTGGTGATGTTCAACGGGGTCACATCCGACCAAAGCGCGGCGCAGCCAGCCCAATCTTCCAACGAGGTCATTGTCAGTCCACTGGCCAGATAGAGATGGGAGAATCAGATGAAAAAAAAAAAACTGACAGCTACAGAATGCCACTAAAAACCCTACCGAGTTCCCGACAACGAGTACCTTGTCACTGTTTAACATGTATCCAGTGGCCAGCAACAAAAGCTCCATGTCTAGGAACAACAGTGTCATAAACAAGACCCACGAGCTGCGGATGGCCGCAATGGTGTAGATGATTGTCAGGATAAACCAGGCCCAGCAGTATATACCCACGGCGTCGTAGAAGGTGGATTGTATGTTGCCTCTGGCATCGGTGTAGGCTGGATGCTTGGTTAGAAAGATCCGTTTCACGGGGAAGTAGTTCCGAGGCATACCTGCTTGAATACCAGTTCCAGGTAAAAAGACTTGTCGGATAATTTGTTAGCCCTGAATCCCTGGTCACAGGAAAGACACATACTCATAGCAAAACTGAGATTGAACGCCCCGTAAGACGGAAAGACTGTAGCTCCAAACTGTAAACGGGTAAGCAAGCAATTAGTATATATACCAATCTAGTACAGCCCGAAAAACTTCTGTCGTCAACACACAGTGTTCCCGTTGATGAATTCCATGATGCCCGAGAGGAATTGACAGATGCCACCAAAGCACAGCAATACCCCAATCGCCATGTTGGTTTGCTCGATGCTTCGGGTGTGCACCCCCAGCATGGAAAGCAGGAAGATACCCGTGGCGAAGGAGAGCAATCCCAACGGCGAGGGATTAGCTAAGGATCGATGTATGGAGGGCAAGGGCGGGGGTTGAAAGCGGACATCCTGCGTCTTGAGCCGCTCGATACAGTCACTGCTCGGACATGCCTCGATTTTATCTCCATCCTGGTATGGTGCGGTTGGGGGTAATGCCAACATGTTGGGGGAATAGAGAGGGAATCAAAGTGAGCCAAAATAAAGGCAGGTAGACCTGAAGTTTCTGATGATGGGATGCCAGTTAAGTATTCATCCGCTCCAACCTCCACAATACCCCAAGTTCCACCCCCTGACCCGCTAGCCCTAATTCACGAACCATAAAAATATGATTAAAGTTTTATTAAGTTAATATCTAAACAAATAAGGGATGGGTTTGAGAATCTGGGAAAATTGGACTCGGCAATTCCTGCCTCGACGATTTTCCGTGAGTGAAGTCACCCAACAATTGTCCCAGTTATCTCCGTCATGGTCTCCGCGCTTGAAGGCTGTCTCCTTGACTATCTCCGCCATCCGCAGTCCGAAGTCCGTGCTCCACCATGCCGAGTGGAACGACACAATAATATCTACATCCGTCACACAATGCCTCGCCACAGCCCTAGTGCGCCCCTCGCCCGAGAACTCGTCAATAAATAGGATTATACACCGAGCCAAATGACCATGTTGCAATCACCTTGATCTCAGTTCACAACCTTATCTTCCGTACCCTCCCATCTTCATTCTGCCTGGACACTTGATCCAACCTACAAAGCTCCATTTCCTTGAACATGGCACCACCTATATGTCGCAGTGAAATCCTCACCCGCCTGCGCCGCCAAATTGAACATGGAAAGCCCATCATTGGAGCTGGAGCCGGTACGTACTTGTTGTCGCCCACCTTACCTCTCTGCCGATCAGTTTGGCTAATAATCCACCATCAGGCATCGGCCTTTCCGCGAAATCGGTCGAGGCCGGTGGCGGAGACCTAGTAATCATCTACAACAGCGGCCGCTTTCGCATGGCAGGTTGCGGGAGTCTCGCAGGGCTAATGCCGTACAGCAACGCCAACGAGGTAGTAGTTGAAATGGCCGCCGAAGTCATCCCTATCGTTCAGAACACCCCCGTGATCGCGGGTGTCTGCGGTACCGACCCATTTAAACACATCCCCAGGTTCCTGAAGCAGCTGCAGGAGCTGGGATTTGCCGGGGTGCAGAATTTCCCCACGGTGGGACTGATCGATGGCCAGTTCCGCGCCAACCTGGAGGAGACTGGGATGGGGTACAGTAAGGAGGTGGAGATGGTGCGGCAGGCGGCTGAGTTGGACCTTCTGACGACGCCGTATGTTTTCAATGTGGAGGAGGCCGAGGTCATGACGAAGGCTGGGGCGGACATCCTAGTGGCACATATGGGACTGACCACTTCGGGGGTGATCGGGGCGAAGACCGGAAAGTCGTTGGAGCAATGTGTTGTGGAGATCCAGGCGATGCGGGATGCGGCGGTGCAAATTAATAAGGATGTCATTGTGCTGTGTCACGGTGGGCCCATTGCTGCTCCGGAAGATGCGAAATTCGTGCTGGATCGGGTGCAGGGCTTGCATGGCTTCTACGGGGCCAGTTCGATGGAGAGACTCCCTGTTGAAGTAGCCATCAAGGATACCACAGCCGAGTTCAAAAAGATTGGTTTGAAGAGGTAGTCGGTGACGTATCCAGGAGCTGTACTCGAGGAGTTACCTGTCGTGGTGGAAGAGTTTTCTTATTCCCGGTCTCAATATAGGGTGTTTGATATATAGACTCGGTGATCAACTATAAGCTTACTCAGAGGCTAGCAGTTGAGAATGGTGTTCCCCCATCTCCAATAATCCCCAATAGAAGCTCCGTGTCAGGGCGGGCAAAAGACATGATTGATCTGCGCACCATTTTCCAGTGGTAGGGGGATTGATGGAGCGCAGTACTGCATAGTGGACGTATACATTTGGTTGTAATACTTGGAGCTGTGTATCAATGGTGATCTAGAGAGCTCTCGGGTACAGAATACAGCCCAATTATGTCAGACCAAGCCATTAACTAGCATACACCCGAATGTAGACTTGCAGGACTTCCTCACCGAACACATAATCTGGAGCACAAATCAAGATCCAGTGTCAATTCTAATGAACTCCCACATGGTCCCTTCCCGTCTCTGAATATCAACCACCAACTCCATATTTTCCTTTCCCCCAATCTTCATCGGCGAGAAACCATTACCATCCTTTACCAATAGTAGCTGACCACCATCTGGATGTTGTCGTGGACAAAACCACTCCCACGCGTTATGCTCTGTCGTCCTTGCTCTAATTCCACCATTGCTGTCATGCCCGAGGTACGTGCCTGAAACGTCGTTGTAAAAGCCAAGCCACATCTTCTCGTTCTCAACACAATGCCAGTGGCTCGCAACATTATATTGATAGTGAAAGATGTCCAGATGTACCATTATCGGTGCACCTTCCTTGAGACTGATAATACGGTGGGTTTTGGGATCGCGGATTATGAATGTCATGTTTCTGGACGGAAGGGCTCTTGCATCAAATGTCGGTTCTTGCATGCCCATACTTGTATAGCTATTCGTTTCGCCTGAGGTAATGGTATGGGTTGGCGTAGAGCACCCGTCGCTTTCTGCGGTAGACACCGACGACATTGGTACGTACCTACCAGTCGTGTCAGAACTGTAGACAAAGTAGATAAGATCAATCCACCCACGGTAGATTCTATACCCAAGTCCGTGGGTATTTGTGAGGTCAAGCTGTACACTGGAGACTGAAACTGGGGCCAGAACAAAAATGCAGGTGGCCATCTCATGAGATGAGCGCGGGGTAATTCGCCAACACAACATCACATCAGTCACATGATGTCAGTACTTTTGACATGTTTTCGTCCATTCAGTTTGCTATGCACATTGATCATCTCCAGGAGTGGGTGTTGACCCGAGAGCAACAAAATCAGCGCGGAACCATCATTGAGACCTGCGACTAAGGGAAAGAAAGCAGTCACAAGCCAAAAAAAAGGGGACTCCAACAATGTGTCCAGATCCTACAGCTGAGATAATAATTTCTTGAATGGAGACGAGCACTTATTAAGAATGAAATACACAGTAACAAATTCAGTCGTACCCGGAAAATGTACGGAAGACTCCCATTTATCTTGTAGGCCGACGATTACCATATGCCGCTCGGAAAGTCAACATGAGGGACGAACTGCTCTGGGAAACCGCCGAAAAGATTGTCTTAGAGATAAAAAAAGGAATGGGAGGAACTGTTATCATAGACTATGTGAGAATAATAATTTTGAGTTTGAGAAGGAAAGGGTAGTTGAGCTGTGCCGGATTTCCTTTTTCCCTCCTCTTCAGCTTCACCTTTGGTACACACTAACTTACAAGGAAGCTTAGGCTCTTACATACACTGTATTCCACTTTATCAAGTGTATGAGAATCAAAAACCCTACAGCATGTTTTATTTTAGTGCCAATAAGAGGAGGCCTAAGCTAAGAGGGAGGCAATAAATAACTCACTAATCCTAACCACAGTCCTATGTACACCAAACTCTTGTTAAACACTTGCTACCGAAACCTCAAAGATTAGACTTGGGTTTATCCAGATTCACTGGCGGCAGCTTCAATACTCGAATAGCATTGCCACCCATGAAGTCCTTAATAGAATTCTCCCTGAAGCCTCCCTTTGTATCTACAAGATACTCATTGACCCTATCCACGCAGGCCTTCCAACCCAACTGCGGAAAGTTCGTCCCAAACATCACCTTCTCCCTACCCGTAGTATTGGCAAAATGAACGAACTCCGGTGCATAGTATTTCGGTGACCACGCGCTGGTGTCAATATAGACGTTCTTGTGCTTCCATGCCACAGCAACAGTTTCAGCAGCCCATGGATATCCGATGTGACCCATGATGATCTTGAGGTCGGGAAACTTGAGGGCAATTGTGTCAATGTATGGGATTGGACGGCCGACCTCGCTCGGACAAGCTGGCGCTGTGTGACCAACTTGGGTGAGAAAAGGGATATCAAGTTCGATACATTTGACAAAAAGGGGCCAGTAGTGAGCGTCAGTGGGAGGTAGATTCCATAACCAAGGAACCACTCGTAAGCCCACAAATCCTTCAACTTTGACATAGTGTTCCAGTTCTTTAACTGCCTCCACAGGATTGTGAAGATCGACCGCAGCGAGGCCAAGAATCCGATTCGGGTAAGCACGGGTGTACTGTGCCACCTCTTCATTTGAAAAGATCATCTTGCCTGGGCGACTCCAGGCAGACATGCAGGCATATGTGATACCGGCCTCGTCCATAAGAGCAATAACCTCGTCCGGAGTCCTTTTTTTATCAGCGATCTCAGGGTCGGAGTGGCTGTATGCGAAGAGCCGCGCGACCTCTGGAATGGCAGCGCCCAACTACATGTGTTGTTAGCTATGTACTAGTAGGCCTGGCAGGGAGATTCTTACTCCAGGGAGGTTCGCCCAGACGTCCACAATGGGGCCCTGAAACTTCCTCGGTGTCATAGTTTCGACAGTTTTCGTATCAGTGAACAAATGGCGGTTGCAAGTTAAGCGGAAATTTTGGTTTTTTTTTTGTTATGGAACGAGTGCAGGCTACAAAAATTGGAGGCATGTCTCGCCTTAAATGTTTCCGCTAGGAGCAAGACGGGGAAAACAAGACTACCGTGCAGGACCGAGCCAACCGATCTTACCGAGAAGATCGGCTACCCGTCAACTTCCCCGGAAGCTCAGAGCCATGGGAGTTGTTTCCCCCGCAATCGGCAACGACGGCTAATTTTGCTTGGCGTGGTCTTGCTGAGCCGTTACCTATTTCGGAACCAGTCCCCATGAACTTCTGTACTATGAGCACGGCAAAGGCCAGATGAGGTTGGAAATCGCATTCGTCATGTCCAAAAGTGTAATTACCGAAATAACCTAGAGCTAGCCGCTTAATTCGGCGTCGTCAGTTGATAGTGTAGAGAGTCGCTCAAGATCAAGAAAAGCTACATATAAAATATGCATTAGCCAAGGTTAACGCACCATTGCTTTATAAAAGTCGCTTGCTTCTGGTAATCTAACCTCGCTTTCTCGTGCACGCCTGTTACAACAAAACCTCGTGAATATGGTGTTCACCCCTCCATTATGGGTGCCCCAGATGCCTATGGGTAACTCGCTCCCCGTCCAAACATCCCTCTCCGTTCAATATCCCCTGACTTAGCTGGTAGATCCGCCCGACTCGATCAGCATCGCGGAGTTTATGAGCAACGACATATACGGCCGAAATCACGTTCAAGCTAAGGCTCGAAACCCATTCACCTGCGGCTTGACAGGAAAAACGTATACTGCGGCCGAAGTGGTTGAACGAGAACACTATCTAGCTCGGGCGATCTTCAAAAATCTTAGTTTTGACCACGAGCATTCCGAATGGGACCGAGTGGTTGCGCTATTCTCTTTGAATACGGTAAATTTGAACTCCACGCCATCCCCAACCTTTCACTGTCTCGCTCACAACATTCAGATCGATTACATACCTTTGACTCATGCAGTTCATCGCTTGTCTGGGATTGTAGCGCCAGTAAACCCGGCCGCATCATCGTTGGAGCTGGAATATCAAATCCAGTCATCTAACGCTGTTGCCCTGTTCACATGCGTTCCACTCCTGGATGTTGCTCTCAAGGCTGCTAAGGCCGTTGGCATGCCAAATAACCGAATTTTTGTCCTTCCTATGCAAGCTGACGCGCATAATACCCCTTTCACGACTACGGACGAGCTGATCACCGAGGGCAAGACGTTGCCGGCACTTCACCCAGAACGGTGGTCAAAGGGTCAGGGGACGAGACAGGTTGCTTTGTTATGCTTCTCTAGTGGAACTTCTGGACTCCCAGTAAGGACTTCCCTTTTTTTTTTTTCACTGCTTCTGTTGTGTCTGAATCTAAGCAATCTCTACCCACAGAAAGCTGTGATGGTCACTCACTACAATGTCATTGCAAATATCATACAACTCACCACATACGAGAGCTTCTACCGAAAGCAGCACGGCATCGAGTCCCAGACACTATTGGGCTTGCTACCGTTCAGTCATGCCTATGGCCTCATTGTCATGGCTCATGTCGCACCCTACCGCGGCGATGAGGTTATCGTTCTGCCCAAGTACAAGCTCGAGACGCTGTTAATGGCGGTGCAACGGTTCCAAATCAAACAGATCAACATTGCCCCGCCGATTTTAATTCAGATGATTGCCAATCATGAAACGTGCAGGAAATTCGATTTGAGAAGCATCCGTTATGTTTATACCGGAGGTGCTCCTCTAGGCCATGAGACGCTCAATAAGCTCTCTGAACTGTATCCGGAGTGGCATGTTGGCCAGGTCTATGGTGAGAAACGCGGCCCCGTAATTCCAATCAAGATTACTTATTCAGATGTTTAGGTATGACGGAGACAGCGGTTGTCATCACGTCGACCAGCGAGTCGGATATTTTCCCGGGATCTGCAGGCTCTCTTCTTCCGTCTATGAAAGCCAGAATCGTGAGCAGCGCAGGAAAGGAAGTGAAGGAGTACGACACTCCTGGGGAGTTGGTAGTTCAAGGGCCTTCGCTTTGTCTTGGCTACCTGAACAATGAGAAGGCCACCGCAGAGACGTTCGTTTGGGATGATGAAGGCCGGTGGATTAAGACAGGAGACGAAGCTATCGTGCGAAAATCTCTGAATAACCATGAACATTTCATTATCGTTGACAGAATCAAGGAGCTCATAAAAGTCAAGGTACGGTTACCATTAATATAACACGACTGCCGCTAACAAGGTGGTGTAAGGGAATGCAAGTCGCACCCGCGGAACTCGAGACACACCTTCTCACCCACCCATTTGTCTCCAATTGCGCTGTCATCGAAGTCCCTCACGAATCCTCTGGCGAAGTTCCTAAGGCGTTTGTTGTTAGGTCGAAGGAATCGGTTGGAGAGTCCGAGCAAGAGATGGCGAGGGTAATCTGCGAATACGTTCAACAGCACAAAGCACATTATAAGTGGTTGACTGGGGGAATACAGTTCGTGGAGGATATTCCGAAGAGCTCAACGGGGAAAATCATTAGAAGAGCATTGAGAGAACAGGAGAAGAAGGCAAGAAAGGCTAATGAGGCAAACCTATAGGAGTTCATATTTTTTTGATTTTATTTGATTTATTTTGATTTATTGTTTTTTTTTTATCAAAGTCTTATTTATGTCCTATTTTTATTTTCCATTTTTAGATAGATTGAACAATAGTACAACAGGCACTCCGGGTGAACTGGCGATTATTCTAGCCGAGTTGAGATACCCCAGACCCCGCGGATGATCCGAGGTTGGAAAATCCTCCGTACCCCGCAAATTGCATTCATCATGACCGTCACCACTCAATATTCCCCTGGTATTACCATATTGTCATAATCCAGGCTGCTAAAAATCACCGGAGTCAGGGAAGTCTACTGCCTCGCCAATATGAACTCTGTCGAGACACAGGGAGACGTACCGGCAGAACAAGACCTGTCCAGGACGAGGTTCCAGGCCAGGGTCCGCAAGCGCGCCCGCAAAGCATGTCTGTACTGTCGGGCCCGCAAAGTCCGCTGCGACGTATCTCAGAGGGGACGCCCATGTGTCAACTGTTACCTGGACGGCGAGGCTTGTATCGTCACAGGAAGGGCGTCGAAATAGTGAGTGCATATTCCACCCAGGTCGTCTCAACTCGTCCTTACCATTCAACGACACAGCCGGGCCCAATATGAGTTAGTAGATAGCAATGTAACGGCTGAGTCAAGCTCAGATGGCCGAGTAAACGCTTCTACTCAAGGGTTGCCTGCTTCCGCACCTAATGACCCAGGTACACGCGAAGCAGACTATACCCACAACTATAACGTCAGTCAGAAGGCCGCAGGATCTACTGTCCGTGACGAGTCTCAAAACAGCCTGTCCGGGTTACGCGATAAAAATTCCAACTGTGCTGATGGTTAGCTCCTCTCTTGCTCATAAAATCCACCGTTTTGGCTGACACGATCAGGCACAAGCTCGCAAGATAGCCCGCGGGTAGACAACCTCACAGCGTATCTGCTGAACTACCACCCTTCGACCGACTTTGACAACCAGTGGGCTGCAAATGTATACCCTGCAAAGTCCCCCGATGTTGTCTATTGCCACTACCCATTCCTTACTGTAAGCAACATTCACAGCATTCCACATCAAGACGTCAACTTCCTTGACCTCCAAGGCTGTCTTCGTGTCCCGATAAGGCCCTTGCTGGATGATTTGGTACAACAATACTTCCTTCACATTCACTCCTTCTTGCCTCTGGTCAACGAAGGCGACTTTTGGGACTTATATTCTCACGTCGGCGGCAACCCACCAAAAGAGCGTCTTTCGTTACTTTTGTTTCAGGCCATGCTCTTCGCGTCTTGTACTTTTGTCCCACAGTCCACTATCGATGCCCTTGGCTTTCGCGACATCCGGTCTATGAGGGCGACATATTTACGACGTACGCAGCTTCTATACAATCTTGGGACAGAACTATCGCCGCTTGTCATCGCCCAGGCGACGCTACTTCTTTCTTTCACATCTCTATCGTCCACAAAGACGCCATATACAGTGTGGCTGAGTTTGGCTATCGAAAATGCAAAGCTTGCCGATGCACACCTCTATGCAACTATAAAAGCACCGTCTCTCCAGAAGCATCAGAGCATCTTGAAGAGAGTCTGGTGGTGTTGTATTATGCGAGATCGCTCTATGGCGCTTCTGTTGAGACGACCGGTCCAAATAACAAATGAGCATTTCAACTTTAATGCTTGTCCACTCTCTGCGATGGATTTTGCGGATGAGTTCGGTCGGTCTAAAGTATATAATTCTGCAACCAAGAAGAGACTAGCTGAAATCCTCGCCCAATTTGTTCAGCTATATAATACGCTCACGGACATCCTTCTGCTTGTATTCCCACCTAACGGTACTTGGAGCTCAGGCCGGGAACATAATCGTGAGAATCACAGCCTCCGCCATTGTAGGGCCACCTTGAGTCGGTGGTATACATCCGCAGTTTCAAAGTTTCAGAATCCTGGAAATGACACTGTTCCGGCGACGCTGTCTAACGACTTCCAAGAAATTAATCATGGTTCAATTGCTCTGTACACGAATTTTCTATTTATGTATTATCATACATCACGCATCGTCTTATGCCACCACGAGATCCTTCATCTAGAGGACCTACAAGGGCGCGGCTGCAGGGATACCTCTCCGACTGAAGAACTATCAAGGATTCACGAGACCCGGCATGAACTTCAAGACGCCGCATCAGCTCTCGTGAAGTGCCATGAAGATCTAGTCCGCCAGGGGCTCGCTCGGTGGCTGCCAATCTCCGCTATCGGTTGCACAGCGTTACCGCTCGTTCTCAACATACTGAATATCAAGCTATCCCCGCCAATAGAGAACGGTCCCAATATAGCGTCAATAATAAAGCAGCACCAAGGGGATACTCTCATTGAAATCATGAAAATTTACTGGCCTCAATATGATGGTGTGGATTGGGTCAGCAAAATCGTTCGTCACATTGTTGACCTCGCTCAGCTTGTCAGGCCTAAAGTCAAGAGCTCTAACTCGACCATTAACCGGTCTGATATTTTTGCCTTTCGACCTAGTTCATACCTTCGCTTGGTCTTGACGCTGGATCTGAGTCTCAGCAAGGGGAGATTGCCCCAGGATAGTGACTTTCCACACAGCCTCAGGGGGTTATTTGATGTTAATATCAGCCCTCTCCCAGAGCTGGCTCTGGGTGACGACATGAATCACAATGAGAACCATAACAATGAGCATGGGGCGACCCACGAAACTCAAACCCATCAGCCACTCGATTCTAACTCTCCTCAGACGGGACAGTTTGCTTCCGGAGCTGATGAGTCTGTTCTTGTCGAAATCGAACAGATCTATTTGCATCTGGCGGGTGTGCATGCAGATACTAACATGCCTCATTCAGGGGGCCTGGAGATGAGTGCCGATGCCTTCCCACATGGAGACCTGTCTCTCAGCAGCTCAGATTGGTTCGACCGTCTACATACTGACAGAGAGCAGGCGAGATTGTTGCTAGGGCCCGTAGGCTACTCGCATCAGGGCTTTGCTAGCATGGATACGGAGGACCAAAGCAATCGGGATACATCTATCAGTTAGCGTCAATGGAAGGAAGGTGGAAGAGATGGGTACAAAGCAGCGTAGGATTTGTTACAAGCGCGAAATGTATCCCTTCATTTGCAGTTTGAAAGACAGATCGGAGTTCATACACATTTTAAGTTTCTGCTAGCGTCTTTGGAAATGAACCGGGCTGTATTTGAATGAGCGTGACGTGCTTGGAAGAAACGCAAGCTGTCTGATTTAACTTGAATAATGTGGATCAGGCTATGGCAAGGAACAGCATCGACGATACTATTGTATTCTGTGTCTGTGTAGATGGATGAGGGTGGATCTCCTCTATCTGGCAGTCGTGCATATTGGAGCCTGAGGCTCTCCAACAAATAATTGAAAATGCCAACACCTTCGGCCCGCGGGTTTCGGTAACTGGGCATATGTACAACCCCGCCGGGCCAAGTGGTTCCTCATGACTCCCATTTCATTATTTATGTTCGCTAGAGGGTGACCGAGGTGATGTACGGTGGTGTTCATCTCCCTGCTATCCACAATGTCCGGCTATCTCATCTCTCCAGGCCCCCGCATCCGAGTGAACGGAATGATGTGGGGGAATCAGATTCGCCGTCGCTGCTTCTCCGACCGGTCCGACTTCCTGGGCCAGTTTCTGGAAAGTCACCAGCCCTCACGGGCCGCTGTGAATTACTTTTCCGCCATTGACTGGACTCGACGTGTCCTTGACGACAGAAACTACGAGGCCGTGCCCTTTTTCTCCCGGTACTTGGATGAACAAACAGGGGAGAACCGCTTCTTCAGCCGGACAGTGAACACTCCAACCACGATACCCCATATCCTCGCGCTCCGACAGAAGGGTTTGACCACAATCGATACTGCAGAGCCTGAGCCCTCCATCAGGCTACAGTGCACTCCAACGCCAGAGATCCAGAATCGTCGGCCAGGTGTTATTTGCCTCATGGCCCTGGGACCGGAGCTCGAGGCGCATCCGTCCATTGTCCATGGGGGATTCCAAGGTGTTATTTTTGACGAGATCATGAGATTCGTGATTCTGTTGCATCAGCATAATATCGCCCATCCTGGACCTAGAGACATCCACTATACTACACGCATGTCCATTTCGTACCGTGCCCCCGTAATCACGCCGAGCGATGTCTTGGTGCGCTCGTGGTTGGCTCGGAGGGAGGGTAGGAAGTGGTTTGCTGAGGCACAGATAGTCGATTACAACAACAAAATCTTGACCAGTGCAGAGAGCATGTGGGTGACGGCAAATGGTGCGGCCAGTTAATCCGGAATTTTGTATGTTTGCCCGCTATAGACCATGAAGATGGAGATTTCACATTTGAGCTGTCAGGGGCCAATCATCATCAACGCTTACTGCACTCGTTAAAAACAGATATGCTCGCTTTGCGAGCAAAGCAAAAACAAACAACAGCCGAGATTCGCTGGCGGTCACCCACCCAACTACTAACCGGCCGGCGTGTGGCATATGTACACAACCATCAACTAAGATGTAAGAGGAAGTCAGCATAGTTGCCACCTTCTGAGCCCATCTGGTCAAGCAGTCACAAGCTATACCTTGTCCTACCAACTCTTTGATGCCAGATTGAATCGTTTGCACAGCGGTTCCCTTGAATAACAGTCACGACTATTTCGAGGACTCAGAATCATGTACCCAAAAATCAGGTAGATAGGATTTATGCCAATACAGTATTGGTCCTTTGGTGGGTGATCAACCTGCCTTGTTAGAGGATCACATGTGCGCGTGAATATATCTATCCTGGTAAGGAGCCGAGATTTTCCCCGTATAGAGTGAAATGTATCTAATCGTGTTGTAGCCGAACTAGCTAGCGCATATATCGGGAGTGAGCCCAACCTATGCCTATTATATGTCTTCCTGCGAGAGTCCTGGATAGTGAGCCCGTTTGTAGAGCAATCTTTGAATCTATGATATACTATTATGAATGATCTAGTGGAAATTTTACAAACGAAATATCTTCACAACACCCAATCCAGCACTAAATTGTCACAGTAGCCTTATATTGCCCATACCCAAATTTTTCTTTTCAATGAAACCTTAGTGGAAAAAAGTGATAGCAAACAGCAGTGGCAAGTACAGTGATATAATTTCATCCCAAATGAGATCTATGAGAAGCTTTATGAGAACCATGGTCCCAGCCAGGGGTTGAAAATTCCACCAAGGAGTACCTGTTATGGGGTTCTCGTACGAACCCAAAGGATGACAGTTTGGCTAAGGCCAGCACGGAACGCAGCCAGCAAAGGGTCTGAAACAACTATAAACGATCTTCGTACGACCCCCTGGCATACGAAGACTGTCGGTGACCCCTTCGTTCAATCCCTGACTTCCGAGAGGGATCACTGAGAACACTATTTGGAATATCGTTCCCGTACGACCATAAAAGATGGCTCCCGCCTCTGCTCTGTTTATTTCTTCTTCAACGATTCCTTCTTGTATAATAAAGGGTAGCTTTAGGTTAAGACAACTTGAGTTCAACTCCCAGACGACACACTGCGAGAAAAGATCTACTTCCAATATGATTATAAAGTTGCCTGTTAGTTTCGCGCAGCAAGGCGTTCACCCGAAAAGTCTTTCCGAGCTTTGAACAGCTGGGATTATTTCACTACACGCCAACATGCTGCTAGTTAAGTGTTTGTGGGATCACATGAGTATGTGTCTGATATTTATCAATGCCCTACAATTTGACATATCTCATACAGTAAACTCATTACTATATGTCTATGATGGTATGGCCGCTTCTTTTCTTTATATTTAACATCCTACACGGACATACTTTCTCAATATAGTTGATTTCATTACATTCATTACAGAGAGGTTCGAAACCTCCTTCACCTCGAACACTCCTTGATGAATGCTGCCTCACTGTTAAGGCTTTGGCTAGGCAGTCTGCTGCACCATTTCCATAACGAGTATATATCAACTATCAAGTTATCAACTATGCCCTGAAACGAAACGAGCTGAGTGGAAAGGATTCAAAACATCTCGGGAGATGCGCCTCCCACAAGAAAACGCTGGAAACCCATATGCTGGCTCATGCCACGCGACTTCTACTGGCTAACCCAACCACATCCACTAACGCCCAGCTTTTCCTGTCTTGGTATCTTTTCAATAATCTCGACATGCTTATTCTAACTTTCTGTTGGCCCGATTTCTGCACTAGTAACGTAACCTATCACCGAGAGGCGCGGTCGGCGGCGGTTTCCCCTGTATATTACACCCATATTTTCAATCCTACTTTTCATCAAATTATCCATCATGGATGAGCTTTCTAACGGACGGATGAGATTGGCTATTGATGCTTTTAATCAGGGCCAATTTCAATCTAAAACTGCCTGTGCACAAGCATTTGATGTGCCATCAAGAACCTTGCCTGTACGGTGCAGTAATTGCAACCAAGAGGGCCATAATAGATTAAAATGTCCTCTTAGATAGTAATAGACTTAATAAATTTGACATGCTTCATAACATGGAGTGGATACTACGTAGATTTACGAGATCTACTCTTAGCTGAGCTCGTAACACCCATTGGGTAACCCATAACCCACGATGGGCTGGGTTGGGTAATGGGTTCTTGTGGGCCGTGGCGAAGCCTAGTACAGGGGCAAGACCCGCATCCAGCTCAGATGGAGACTCCAGAAGCCACTTGTCAGAGTTGGTATATAACCTGCGTTCCAATGGGGCTCGTGCCTGAACAGTGTATTGCGAGATAACTGAAAATTGGTCTAAAACATCTTGGCCATCACATACGAATGTATACTCGCCAGCTTTTCTCTTGTCTCAATTAGCTCACTATCAGGGGTAGACTGTGCGACGATCCCTGCGCCAGCCTGCAACCACTGACGACTCTCATCTTGAAAGACAGAGCGAAGGGCATTAGCCGCTTCCATGGAATCGTTGCCTTCAATAAACAGAACAGATCCCATGTAGAGCTCCCGTGGGTTTGGTTCGAAAGCCTTCACCTCTTCCATGGACATTTTCTTGGAGGATCCAGAGCCCGCGATCCCTGCTGATACGGCTGGTAGAACATCCCATGCATCTTTGTTGGGGTAGAGATCTCCAACGACGCTGGAGTAGAGGTGTTGCACAGGACCCCGAGGGATCACTGAAGCTAGCTCTTCCACCCGGACTGATCCCGGCTGGCACAGCGGCCGAAGCTTTCCTATGGCACCCTTAGCGGTTAAAATGTGTTCAAAGACCTCCTTGGGATTTTCAAGCAGATCCCGCCGTAGCCGGGCAATTTCCTCTGGCGTCCCCTTGTGGGATCGAGTCCCAGCCACTGCATCCATGACAAGTTTTCTGTTCTTCGCTTAAACCACCAATTCGGGACTGAAACCCACTGATTTATGTCCTTGATGACTAAAGCAGAAGGTCCTGCGCGGTGTATTGGCTCGGCGACCATGAAACAGGGTGGAAAGCATGTCAACCCTACTTTCGAGGGCGATGCTGCGAGATAGAATCACTTTGTGATAGTCACCGTTTCTCAGCCCGACCAGCGCTCTTCTGACCTGACTGATATACAGATCTTTGTTGTCATCGAGGTTGACGTTGAGGTGGCGAGCTGCCTTGAATTCGTGACTTTGACGGAAGGTATCGCTCGAGAGTAATTGGCAGAGGTCTTCGACTTTTTGTTCTTCACGACCCATAACACTGACATGGTTCGTTTGGATCACCACCTCCAATGTCGGGGCCATCAGGCTGAGAATAGGCCATTGTCCAGGCAGATAGGCTTCACCTCGCATATGAGGGCCAAAATTGTAGCCGGCATAGCCAAAGACCCGTTCGCCGCAGGAATTGGTGTAATCGGAGACGAAATCTCTCGCAATGTCGAGCAGTGATTTATTAACCGGACATGTGTTATGACGTCTGTCGCAAAAGATCGTGAACTCTTGTCCTGTGGCATTGATCTGCAAGGAAGCTCTCTGGCCCAATCCAATGTACCACTTGTCGTCACGTTCATATGCATAATAATGCTCGTGCTGGTATTTCGTCAAGAGCTTGACTGTGGTTTCCAAGGCATCTGGTTGGCCTGGCAAATGGAAGTCACGAATGGCTGAGCTCGTCATCGTTTGAGTGAATGACATCTTGAGAGCCTTCGATATACGTAAAAGTCCATAGCTCCCCATTTTATAATTACGGTCATATTCTGTGATTTCTGTCTTCAGCTGAGAAAATATCAGCCACAGCTAGATATGGTCGATGGGCGGGTCGGGTGGATATTAGACCCAAAGCTAGGCCTCGAAATGGGAGTCTCCACGAGCTTATGTTTCTTTACCATACAACTCTCTTACCATTTTTTACCCTCCCTCCTTCTCTGGCGTTTCTGTAACTAGTTTAGTGCTAGTTTTTTTTTTTTTTTTTTTTTTTTTTTTTTTGCCATGGCGTTCAAATTGAATGTAAGAACAAACGTTGTTTTGGTGATAACTAGTTCTAAACTGGTTCCAGAAATTCTATGATAAGTACCTGCGCGATTGTAAGGCGGGCACCTTGGCTGTTCCACTTTGGAATGAAGTAAATACAGACACATTGCATTCTTGGTAGCTAGTTCTAAACTGGCTTAGGAGGAGACCAATGAGATTTTCTATGGGGAGGTCTTCTGCCGCATTGAGAATTGTGGAAGTTGCAAAGTAAGTTTCCTATACAGCTTTTAGTGTAACTGGTTCTAATATAGTTCCAGACTCAGTTCTCCACAACCAACAATCTGCGCCACCACCTGGCAAAGTACCACAAGGACTACATCTTCGCTCGCGTCTCTGGAGGCCGTGTGAGCCATGAAGCTCGCACTAAGGCTAACAGTAAGCTAACTGGTTCCAAACCAGTTTCTTAACAGTTCCTGACCTCCTTAGGATTTTACGAGTCGCTGTACGTGCAGGATGAGTCGTCCTCTTCCAGGTAAGTTAGTCTTTTTAAAAAGCCTCTAACTAGTCTGTATCTAATTCTAAATTAGTTCCGACGACAATGACAATGATGAAAATGAGGGCAGGTAAGTTGGAATCCTTTGGCAAAGATATTAACTAGTCTGTGGTTAATTTTGAACCAGTCCTGTTGATGATGAGGATGATGAGACCTGGTAAATTAAATATTTTAGAAAAGACATTTACTAGTACAGAGCTAATTCTAAACTAGTTCTGAGAAATCCAGCTCCCCCGAGTGTGCCTTGACCCCTGGCCCCGGCCCCAGCAGCCCCCCTTCAGTTACCTCTGAGGAAGATAATCTTCCTCTTCCAATGTTGGAAGATGGAACAGTATGTCTGCCATAGCTAATTCCAAATTAGTATCTAATAGGCTCAGGTCAACCACAAGGCCGTGCGCCGTGTCGCCCTAGACCAGGGTCAGAGGATTCCCTGCAAGTCCTGCCGTAAGGCTAAAAAGGGTGAGTAGCTAATTCCAAACTAGTTCTGGAGTAGTATTTAACTATTTTAGACTGCGCTCAGACTAATAATTGTGAGTATTGGTCTTACTTTAAGGTCCCCGGGGATCTCGCGGGAGAGGCCACTAACTAGTAAATAGTTCTTATGTAGTTCTAGCCTAGTTGGTGAGGTGTACATAGCATAATTACATGTAGCTTTGAGCTTAATGAGCAATTATATTCAATTGACTTAGTTATCTTTAAGTTAAAAACATATATATTATAGGTTAGAATATGTTCTTTATATAAATTATAAATATATATTTCAATTACTCTAACTATAGTAAATATATTAACTAACTATATATTTTCATTCTAATTCTCATCATCATCAAATGGGCTTGACTCTAATCAGTCAGCAAATGAGGACTGAGGTGCAGGAGACCTAGTTTGGAACTGATTCCTAACTAGTCCTACACTCTGTAACAACTCAATTTCAACTGGATCATATGCAAGACCAGTCCCTTCTAGAGTGGCACAGCGAAGCCGCAAAATCCGCGCCAATCCGCGCCGAATCCGCAATGGCGCGGCTTCGGATGGAAGTTGAGAAGTCCGCAGCGGCTGCGGATTCGGATTAATCCGCAGTCATCCATTTGGCTTATTAAGCAGCAAAGCATCGAAATATCTAAAATATATTTATATAGGCATATAGAGCATATATAGATATATCCATATTCAATATATGAGTCCCATAGGCCCCCTTGTTGGGGAGTTATTCACTAAAAGCTAAAAATCGACTGTATGTATGCGTGATGTATGAAGCCGAAATATATATCTATATATCTCCGTCGACATTCTACCCAAACCACCACCCACCCTCCATATAGATATCGATATGTATATATATTAATATATAGGGGTATATGATGGATATTTAATAGATATTTAATAAGAAATTGATATATTTACTATATAGATGGCTTGAAATATCAATATACAAGCTGAGCATGCGATCGTAAGGGTGATACTGAGTGGTGATTAAGCAGGGAGACTGTTAGCCATATATGGCCTAGTACCTTCCTACTTGGGCTCTAGTGCGGCTTTTGCGGCTTAATCCACGCCAATCCGCGCCGAATGCAACTCTAGTACCTTCCCTTAAAGCAAGCTCCGTACGGGCATTAAATCGATGAAGGAAAGCCTGTAGGACATCTCCTTGAGTACTGTTTAACCCACTTAAATGGTTATTTTGATCCTGGGAATTAGAAGTTGCAAGTCGGGCAAGTGGAGACAGGGTCACTCGGAACTGGTTCTAAAGCAATTAGTAAATAGCAAAATATTGATTATAGATTCTTACCTTGTGTTAGATAGGCGACTTCTTGAAGCAGCGACCAGAACAAAGATATTTATATCATCTATACCAGTCTCATTCCACTATTGACCATCTCTGAGGCAAAAATGATCGTATATCTGTATACATTCTGAAATTGCACAACAATTCATATTTACTCTGTAAAACCAGGACCTGTGAATTTCCTTTTCAGGCTAGTTTTGCCGTTTCTGTTATAGCCTCCTAATACGCCGTACTGTAAACGCCGCCTGCCTGGCCTCCCAAGTATAGAAGAGCCCTCCCTCACTGTTCTGACCTCGTCCCCTCCCAAACGCTTTTCTCTTCTCAAACTCCCTCCCATATTCTGCACTCATCCGTATTCCTGGCCATTTGAACCCCATCACCCCCTCCTTTTCTTTTTCTTTTTTTCTTTTTTTTTTTTTTTTTTGTTTCGGAAATTGCAGCTGCGCCCTCCTATCACCTCCAGTTTCAATTCCTTTGCCCCGTTTACATTGACCAGCGTTTAGAGATGATCCTGTCTCCCCTATCTTTCATACAGTGAATTTGTTCATATCCTCTGTTCCCCTATGTTTTACTAGAAAATGCATTTACATGAGGTCTTGCTTCTCCGGCCACTCTCCATCAATGGTATCTGTGACGGTCTCAAAGAATATAAGTCTATAGGTAGACTATATAGCGAAATACTAACATGGAGAAGGAAAGGAAAGAAGCTGGGCCTGCCAGCGCTGCGCTATCTGGTGTGTGCGAAGGGGTTCCTGCCCTATATCCAAACAGGCCAAAGTAGTCAAACATCTCGCGCCTGCGCTCCATGACCATTCTAGTCGTAAAATCCCGGGTCTTGACGGACCTGTGGCCAAGGTAGCTTAGCCTCATAGCAAACCAGCGTGTGTATGATTAGTTCTTAGCAAAGCATTGCAGCGTATCAGTCGCTCTAGCAAGCCATTGGCCAGGGTGATACCAGCTAATTCAAGTATTCGTCGCGTTGCACATGCTGACGGTAAACTTTGAGAATGATCTCACCCGAGAATCTTGACGAGTTTTGTCTCTGGGGCACTACTCAGGTTCTCTTACTAAGTTAGACGAAAAACGTTGGTTTTGTGTCGTTTAACTACGATCCTACAAAAGCACACTAATTTGAAAAGAATGAACATTCGAAGTATCAATCTACACTGGATCATACTGTATGCCAAGTTGAATGCTCAGTGTGATCTAAAAACAAGAATAGCACAAAACATTTAACGTGCGTTTAGGGATTTGTCGAATGTATCCCACAAGTATTTCAATGGCGATTACCAGAATGAATCACCACCTCACGACCTTCTGCGGGAAAAACTCATCAATGAGCTTAAGGTAGTAAGGCTGTGCCAACATTAGTGACTTTCAAGCAGAGATATTTAAGATGCGGCCACATTCTTACCTTCAGCTTCTCCGGATTGGGAACCTCATCGCTCTTGCTGTACAAGTCGTAGGGGTTGAAAGCCCTTACAGCTTCAAGCATCTTCACATCGTGCTCATTCATCAACTCATGGTACGCACCCTCGCGGTGCCAGGGATAGAAAGAATGATATCTGATCATGGCCATTCCCTCATCGGGGATAGTAGATTGATCCTTGACGATATGGTAGAGATACTCGTCATGACCCCAGCAGAGCATGACGTTGTCCAATCCACACCCAGGGGAGTAGATGCCGTATTTGGTACTGTATGTCAAGTTGTTGTAGTCCTCGTTGTTTTTGAATGACTCGGTTCCGTAGATGATTCTGTCATCAAAGGCACAACCAACTGGGAAGGTGTCCCCCACAACATCCCATTGTCCCTGCGCACCGAAGAAGAACAAAAGTTTGCCAAGATCATGGATCAAGCCGACAAGTTGCATCCATCGGGGCTTTCCCTCCTGACGAATTGCCTCGGCAGATTGAAGCAGGTGGGTGAGTTGGCTTTCTTGGGTATCAGGGTCACATTCGTCGACAAAGGTGTCTAATTTCTCCAGAGCCTCCCACACCGTCATGTGAGCGCGGGCCTTGCTCTTGAACTCATTGCGGGCTTTCAGGTTGTATGCCACGGTTTGGAGGGTGTGTTGCTGAGCATAGAAGTTCTTGACTTGATCACATGCGTCATTGAACTGGCGGAAAATGGTCTTGTCTTTGGCTTTGTCGAATTCGGACTCATCGTAGAGGTCTTTGTTGTGCTTGATGTCTGTCTTAAGGACGTTGACTTTGTCGATGCTGTCAGACAGAGTCTCTAAAGAGGGAGCTGACTGAACTGCGGCAGCCATTTTCAGTTTCAACGCAGACGCTGTCCGTTGGGAACTAGGACGAAACGCTTATGTTCTAATGAAGATAGCACCTCACTTAAATTCAGATAAATAAGAATGTTGCTTTCCTGAGATTTTGAGAGGAGGGATCACCCTCTATATAGCTCCAAACCCAAGCCGTGCTGCACTATGCCCGGGTATCGATTCCCGTTCTTGCTTTTCAACCAGAGCAATATCAGTGGGCAACAAAAAGTATTCTCCCCCGGTGTATGACACCATTTGATGAACATTTGCCACTTAGGGTTGTCTTGTGAAATGAATCGAGAAGCTGATGTGGAAAGCGATTTCCGGCTCTTGCTGGATACTCACTCCGGACCAGGATTTGGTACTCGATGACAAACGCTTTTCACGTTGGTTGTTTCACAATAAGCATGGATCGGAAATGCTCATCTTATTATTGATCGTGCCAAAGTTGCTCGAAGCTTGCCAAGGGGAGGGGGCGTTGAGGGGGTTGCGGATTCCTCCTGTCCGTGTCAGGGCATATCCCCAAAGGAATAGGAGCAATGCGGAAAGCACAGCTCATTGCTGTCCAGATGTACTCACCATTGGCTGCTGGCTAGGTCAGGCATATTTATCATACAGCCCCTATATCCACTTGTCTCTCATTTCTTACAAAATTGTTGCGCCCTGCCGTTCACTATCGCGGGCACTTGCGATCTGCGCTGACATTCCTTGGAGTTCCTCTAGCTTTTATCCTTACACTAAATAGTCGTTGAAATCAGAAAACGTCAAATGTATCGAGTTTGAAGTCACGTTCCGGCTATAAACTCGTCAGTGTTGATGCTGTGTCACGAAAATCAATTAACCTTGTCTGTTCATACATTCGTTGCGTCAAATGCACTCCTTCTTTCTACCATAGCACCCACCGCTGAAGACAAACATTTTGGATTGAGAGGTATGGATAAAGAAACTATAATATATGTATGTTGGTTACTGTAGATTTACAAATCCTAAAGCATTCACGGGAGGTTGAATTGTCTACATAGCTAAATTTTTGTCTTCTATCTCATTTACAAATCATTCCTCCCAGTCACTATAAATGTCACATACATCCAATTCTGTGAATACCTAATAGGCTGCCCCTATCAAATACAATCTTCTTACCTGCGGTCAGGCTTCGCAGCAATGGCAACAGCCTTCACGAAGCTCTAAAGAGGCACACGCGTAGGTTTGTTATCCAAGCAGCAATCAGTAAACTCGCTGGCCTCAGTAGCGAAAGCCTCCCTGAAGCGTTCATAGTAATGCTGCGGAAGCTCACGCCGGGCACTGTCTAAGTCATAGACTTCAACATGATTCTTCCTTCCCTGCATGTTCACCTTCAGAGAGCTCCTCTCGCAGATAATCTCCGTGGTGTCTTCCTGTCCTGCAGTCATCATGCGCGAGCAGTACAGCGTAGCAGCTCGACCACCTTGGAATTCAATGGTAGCTGTCTCACTGTCGTGGTCTTTGGTTGAGTCGAGCCTGTGATAAACAGTGGTGACACCGACAGCTTGCACACTCTTGAGCTTGTAGTTCTCACCGATGAACCGCAGCATCAGGTCAATGTCGTGAATGGAACAGTCAAGGAAGATCCCACCGCTGGTTTTGGCATATTCGACGAACTTGCCAGAGCGGCAGTCTGCGAGCGGAATATTACCGACCGATCATACTGGCCACTGACCATCTTCTGGTATGCTTCGCGGTAGGAGGCATCGAAGCGGCGGGAGAATGCACATATGACCTTTTGGTTGGGGTGAGTTCTAAGGGCTTTCTTATGAGCATCTACAACGGACTGGGCTTATTTAAGCAAAATGGTTGTAGTCAGCAAAGAGATCACAGAATCGGTTCTATCGGCATTTGGATACTATATCGATGTTGATGCTCAGTGGCTTCTCGCAGAGAACTTGATAGCCCTTCTCAATAGCTTTAATTGCTTGCTCTACATGAACAGCATTGATGCTCATAATAGCCACAGCCTGGATGTCTACTTTTTCAAGCATCTCATCATAGTCACTCTAGACTTGCACACCGTCGAGGTTCTCAGCCGCCCATTGGCCATGCTGAGGGGGATGACTAGTCGTTGGGGTTTCCTTAATTGATAGTGAATAGTTTTAAGACAAAGAGCAATATTTGATAGGATGGTTGATGATATACACATTTGGCTGTTGTGATGAGGAAATATAGCACGTCGTGAGGAGCAATCCATGTCGGGAATAGAAACCCGAATGAACTTGAGCAACGACTCAAGACTCCCAGTGAGGCAGAACAACTGGAAGTATCCATAAAATGCCCAATCAGCAGCCATTTCAAGCTGCAAATCGCGATCTGCAGCTTCCGAAAGTCATACCTGCCAATCTTGGATAATTCTCCTCCCTCGATAGGCTTGAAAGCATGTCAGGTGCTCATGGCCCGCCCTGGGGAGAGCTCCGGGGTAGAAGAGCTCCACATCTGAACATTATTGTTGCTTCTCACCAACAGGATTCGGATTTCCATCTCCGAATACGTTGCAACGATGCTGGGGGACCCGGGACCGTGGGACATCTGTTAAATACATCTTTGGCTGGTATATCTTCAATCTTCAGGGATCGTAACTATGAGTCAGCTTTCTTCAGCAGACCGGCATCTAGTGGTATTTAGTGCAGTTCAGAAGAAGCACGGCAAAACTATGGGGCAATAATGGGACAGCAAATTAGCTCGAGACCAAATATTGCCCTGTCGTCTAAAGTGGTCGAAGGAATCATATCATTTTATTCAATTTCTTAATTTGAAAGTGTTGGATGCTCAGCTCACTCGTTGTCTGGAGTTTGTTTTTAATTGTCTTAGGTAACGGTTGCCCAAGGGCACAGCAATCCCCTTATCAGCTGTATTCTTTCTTGTCTTCTCGCAGCGCCTGAAGATATTAGCATCCCCAGGCTCTCTCTCGCTGCAGAATTCTGATGTGATTTAAAGAATCAATTTTGGAGACATCAAGCTGTCCCTCCAATGAGAGAAGGTCGCCTTAAATAAAAAAGAGCATGTCAGGAGCACTGTGGAAATACTCTCCGCGTAGCCAATTTTACTCCCGTGCCCTGTCTTTTGTGATTTACATCGTCTCTGATTCAATTCAAGCCTTGAATTGGGCAGATAATGCTTATATGAGAGACGTGCATGGAATCGGGGTCACTCTGCACCGCCTAGATAATACGGTGAATCCCCTTGAGACTGCGGTCTTCACGCCTGATACAGTCCTAGGCAGGCCAATTTTCTATCATTATACAACTTCTAATCCACTCCTAAAGAGAAATGAGTTGCGACGGAATGGGTAAATGGTAGCATGTTAGAGCTTTTCTGCGTCGTTGAAGTGAAGTTTCAATCTATGCGAGGTCATCCTTTTAGAAGGCCAACTTAGCCAATGTTACGGTGGAAGCCAGAGAGGGCAGTGAGCGGTTTTGCTCCCAGTCCAATCGGGCCCGATCAATGTCTGGCTTTGCTCCATGTTTCTACAGGGATGATTCTATAACTCAGGAGTCTGTTATTAATAATAATCTTGAGCATGTTGGATTTTGGAAAACCTTGTCCCAATGTCTGTTTTCTCAGGCGGGGCCTCTTATTCTTTGTTCATCGGATCGTAAGAATGCCTTGGGCTGGGCTGTACGTCTTCTTTTGGACCATGAAACTGTCCCGTCGAGAGATAAACAGTGGTATCCACTTGGTTTGGTGAGCAGACCCCCATGGGGAAGCCAATTCTCATGATCTGATCCACTCTTGTCAGTCGATTTCTGTTTGAACTTTGCTGTAGGGATTTGAACAAAGGCATTTATTTGTCTGTCATGGCATTCTATTTACCTTAGTATAAATATTACCGATGATTAATATAGAGACTTGGTTCAATGGACATGATCTTGTCTATCATGCACAGTCAACCGCCACTACATCAGCTTTCCACGACAATGTGCTTGGAACAAGTACTATTCTCTTTGAGGACACCGGTGCAGCGACTCAAGCTATTATTCGTTGTAAAGTACCTATACAATCTTATATCTGATTTTCATGAAAATCCATTCAGTCTAGGATGAATGATCCCGGAAGGACTTGGGAAGAAAGCACATATACTCTCATGCCCAGTATACTCACATCTCCAATCTATGGTCCAATATACATTCTTGCTTCTTCCTGATCAATTAAACACCTTCTCATACCCGGTCATGGTAAAGCGGTACCGCACATCGCCCTTCTTCATCCTCTGCATCGCTTCTCGCAGACCCTCCTCCCCAATTGGCAACTCCTCCACCCACCCCTTCAATCCTTTCTCTGCCGCTAATTGCAGCATCTCCAGCATCTCGCGTCGACTCCCCAAGTGACTTGCCCCAATTAATACTCCATTCGCAATCAGATTCTGCGCCTTGATCACCTGTCCCTCCTCCTCCGGCATCCCTACACTAATCCAGCGCCCATGCACATCCATCATCGACAGGTACTTCGCCAAATCAAATCCCTTCGACGAATTTGCACAGTTCACAATCAAATCAAACGAGCACAGATGCTCCTTCTCCCATCCCTCCTCCGCCGTCGCAATATAACCATCGGCACCCAACGCTCTCGCGTCGGCCTCCTTAGCCCGAGACCGCGAGATCGCCCACGTCTCTGCCCCCAGCGCCTTCGCAAACATCAATCCAAAATGTCCAATGCCACCCAAGCCCACTATACCCACCTTCTTACCTGGTCCAGCGCCATTCCGCACTAGCGGCGAGTAGGCAGTCAACCCCGCACACAGCATGGGCGCTACAACAGCGGTGGATAGCGCCTCGGGGATGGGGAACACCCAGTGTTCGTGGGTGCGCACGTGCGAGGAGTACCCACCCTGGCTGATAATACCGGTGTCTGGCCACTCGGCGCCGTAAGTGTCGATCTGCAGGTGGGGGCAGTAGGTCTCATTCTCGTTCTGGCATTGCTTGCAGGAGCCGCAGGAGTAGGACTGGGCGCCGACGCCGACGCGTTGGCCTTCTTTGATGAGGGTTACTTTGGGACCGATTCGGATTGCATGGCCGACGATCTCTTTACAAAGAAATAAGAAAGCGATCAAATGGAGAGAAGAAGGATGAGACGGGGGCTCTTACCGTGCCCGACGCAAAGAGGGAACTTCTGATCGCCCCAACCCCCTGTTTGCTGCGGTTAGTGTCTGCTGAACTTGAATTGAGTCAATGTTGAATCAATGGCTTACCGCTGACAGTGTGTACATCGCTTCCGCAGACACCGCAAGCTTCGATTTTGATGTCCACATCTATACCGGAATCAGCAACATTACGCCTCACTCTTTGCAGAAACTTCTCACCATAATCTCCAAACGGCTTCAATTGAAACTGCAACGAGATCGTTAGACTTGAGAGAATTGAGCAGATTATGGCACGTACAAATCGCTTGTGGAAATCAGTGTAGGTATCCGGGCTATCCACCTGGAATCCCTCCGCTTGTCTAGGGTAAGACATTTTGACATCCGATTTCGTGAGACACAACTGAGAAACGATGCCCTATGTGAAAGAAAGTTGAAAAAGGGGCACACCGAGGTCTGGGCTCAAGACTGGACGAACACGGTCTTTATACCTCCCTTGTTTGAGACGAGCTACAGCGTCACATTGACCAATTCAAGCCCACATCGCTTGGCTTGACATGGAGACTTCGTGGGACCAAAGTAAATACCGCGGCATGATTGGATGGTTGGTGAGGGACGAATCTATATGTGGTTTCTGCTAGAATTTATTGAAATTGAATGATGTCAATTGAATGGTAATCGATCTGCTGAGCGCACTCTTTTGCATGCTGCGAATTCCTGTTAATTCTGTCCTCTGTATGCCGGGTTTACAATTCCGTGTGACTGTCCCTGTTCTCCGATTCAGATATACCGACACTATACGGTCATTCCAGGCAAAATATCGCAATGAACGACTACAGCCATGACTCCATCCGGAAATGGTTTTCCACGCTATCGTTCCTTGTTTTTCTGGGGTCCTCGTGTAGTCTGCCATTGTTCGGTATACTCTGTTCCTTAATCAGAGTATGACTGACGGCTGGATTTATCCACTATGGCCGTCGACAGCTAACATGGGGTGGAAATTCAGATTCCGTGGGGGAAATATAGCGTCAGTAATTTGGCTGATCTCACCCTTACCTATGTTTATCGAGATACTTCATGCAATGATTATTTTGATATGCATCGCCTTCAGTCTACAAGTAAAGCTAAGATTGACGAATATTCTCACTCAGAAATAGAGAAAAAGAAAGAGAAAAAAAAAAAAAAAAGCGAAAAAGATATAACCAATCCACATCAATTTAATTCTATACCAAACATTTAGATAACAAGCTCAGTTATATACTAGACCCATGCCATCTAAATGCTATCAGGCAAGTCCCTCTCCACCTCCATCATCTCTTGAATCCCCTCTTTCACCCCCTCTATCCGTTCCCCGCTCAACCGTCCCTACAGCCGTCGTGGGTAACCTCCATACCCGTAGTAATTCTGCAGGGCGCTCTTCGTGCCTAAGATCGCCGTCTTGGATAAGCACCCAGTCCGCCGCACTGAGCAAATGCTGCACTTCTATCGCCTCCGTGAACCGCCCTTCACCCCACAGGTTGAAGATGTGCACACACAGTCGCGGGATAACGTTCGCGCTGCCCGCCAGAATCACAGAGCCACCTGACGCCAGCGTCTGTAGCGAGAAGTCCGCGATGCCGCCAAAGACAACATATGGGTGGTTCTCAGTGGTCTTGATACAGGGAATCTTGCGGGTGGAGGGGGCCAGTGGGGAGGTAGGGGTGACGGCGTGCAGGGCGGCCGCGACGCGGGTCAATTTGCCCGTGTTGCCGCATGTGAATTTGGTGCCGACGATATTGGGGTGCTGAGAGATGCAGATGAGAAGGTCCGAGTCCATGTCAATTCCTGCCACAGCGCCCAGGTAGTTGTAGATGATGAGTGGAATGGGCGAGCAGTCTGCGACGGCGGTGAATTAGGCATAGAGGGCTTCGTCGGTGCACATAGTAGTGCGGTAGTAGCTGGGCGGCACGATCAGGGAGTACTCGGTGCCTGCACTGGCAGACTCGTGGCAGAGCTCGACGGTGCCCCGGATGGATTGCTCAGAGGCGCCGGCGATGACGGGAACGTTGGCGAAACTTGCGTCAGCGAGAGCCATGCGGGTCTCGCGGATGACGGTTTGACGCTCGGCGCTGAAGAGGTGGACGGCTTCACCGTTGGGGTCCATGGTGACCAGGCTGACAAGGCTGGCTTTTGCGAGGCAGACAGTGTGGGTGCGAATGGCAGCCGGTCGAGATCTTCGGTGTCAGGATTGAAGAAGGTCAGGGCGGGAGCGTAGACTCCTGGACGGTGAGGGGTTCTCAAGAACATTTCTGCAATCTTAAAATCACTGTCACTATGATTCAATGAGTGTGTTGGACTTATTGATGTTGACGTCGATTAGACAATAGGTTAGAATGTGGAAGGTAAGATATGGTTGAGATTGTATAGGGCAGTGGAAAATTAACAAAAGCCGGATCCCGAGCTATATATGGATGAAACGTCTTCCAAAATTGTTAAATCTTGGTCAACAATACAGTTTTCCGAATTACTGTCTACATTGACCAGTATTAGGGGAAGCAGATGCTGATGCGTGCTTTTCTCCAGAGATGACCGACCTTCTTACTGCACAGGATAGATCCCAGAAATCAATTGCAGCATGGGATAAAACACACGGATGTATTCTATATACCATTTCCTACGATATCTGAACATCAACCAACATAAATGTCCAATATCACTATTGTGTATTCACTTGGTCTGTGTCGGCAAACGAAATCCCCCCAAAACGGCAGTCTGGCAATGAGTATTCACCTCATTAGTTCACCCCATCCCACTTCCGGCCCTTCAGAACATACTCTGTCCATTTTTCTCCTCTCTTTTCTTGTCTTTTCTTTTCTATTTGGCTCTCTTGGGCCAATTCCCTACTCCTACTTAGACCATAATGTATCACACTTGTTGATTCCATCATGGCTCCCAGCGTGTTAATTTTGGAAGACCAATGGATATTCACTGATGTCTGGCCTTCGAGCAAGAGTCGTAAGCTGCCGCTAAGTCCTTAGTGGCAACACTGATGATAAATCCTCTTCTGATAAGTACTTGCCAAGATAACCCCCAGGGATATTGGGACTGATGTATTGCTGAACACTCATCAAGGTCCATACATTATCACGCATTCTGATACTGCAGGTGAACCACATATATCTCATCCTTGGTTTCCAGGGTAAACCAAGACTTCTTCATAAGACAAATACCGACCGGGTCATTTCAGCAACTGCTGAATAGATTAGTTGGTTATGTCGCATCGTTAACACTGGTAAAGTCCAGGGATCGAGCGCCAGTCCGGTCATTCTTTGTTCCTTCTTGTTTCTTTCAGTTTAGGCATTTCCTTGTCATGCAGTATCTTGTGGCTTTTTCAATAGATTTTGATAATATTTCTGGGCATTGTCACTTTTCTTATTTGTTTCCATCCCGAGGACCACCCACCAGCTTTAGTCGTGGGCCTTTGCCATACGCACCCAGCACCCCTTCTCCCCCATTACGGAATGAATAGATCACCAAAAACCTCATATGATACCTATCATGCTGCTGCACTAATTTTACACCTTTCAATGAATAATATGCATGATATTGAATCACTGCCTAGGAGAATTTCTCTGCCTGGTTATCACTGCGTATACCGGCTTTCAACTTCCCTTGTCGGATTCCACTTTCCGTCATTGCACAGTATAAAATTTGGGACAAAGCGCGGCATAAATAGGTGACGCCTTGGCCAGGCGGACGCAATGTATTTCCCACGCCTTATTGGATGTGAATCCGGGGTAAATGCGGGGTCCACGACTTGGGAAAAGGCGATACACTGAATACAGCCAACCACACGAGCGGCATTTGTCTTGAACTCCTGAAGACTCGTGTTAACGATATCCTGCCGTCCGGCCTGAGACCCAGCCTTGGAACCCCATGATGCGACGAGGGTAGCGGCGAATGATACAGCATGCTGAGGCGATCGGGGGTGTTACCATGCAGTCATTTGCTTCATCATCTTTAGCGGTCAATAGCCGCCAAAGAGATCATTGTAAATCCGGGATAGGAATGCCGCAACTATAGAATATTAACTGGATCGAGTTGCTTGCTGTGTATACGCCCTCTATATGTATAAAAGTCTTCGATTTGGTCATTCGTCTCTCCAAGCCCACTCGTCAAATTCGGATTACAAACAATGAACGACGAGAACAAAGACCCACTCCAATACTCACAAGCCAAAGGGGACACCCCGATGGCAGAACATGATGAAGGCGAGGCCGCTGAAATCCCGAACGAGATGCTCTCCTACGGTCCGGAGGGCGTCAAAGGACTCCTCAGTTCAGGCTTCGTCTTTGGTGCTGCCTTCCTTGCATCTCTCGGTGGCTTCTCCTTTGGATACGACCAGGGCGTGATCTCTATCATCAACGTGATGGACCAGTTCCATGAAGCCATTCCGGGGACTGAGTCAGCCTTTGGGAAAGGTTTCATGACAGGCATGTTGCTACTCGGTGCTTTCGTGGGCTGTCTTTACATGCCTTACCTGGTCGACAAACTCTCCAGGAAATGGGCTTTGACATTGGTCGTGGTCATATTCGACATCGGTGCTATCATCCAGACTAGTGCCCAGAACTACGGCATGCTAGTCGCAGGAAGAGCCATTGGCGGCATGGGTGTTGGCACACTGGCCATGGTAAGTGCATCAATTCATGATAAATGATAATCTCCGGAAGAGAGCTACACTTGCTCATCAGTACCTTTACAGGGCGCCCCGTTGTATATTTCCGAAATCTCACCACCAAACCTGCGAGGAACGTTGTTGGTATTGGAGTCCGTCTCGGTTGTTTCAGGCGTGGTTATCGCTTATTGGATCACGTTCGGAACAAGATTGATCGAAAGCGAGGTCTCGTTTCGCCTTCCCTTCGGCCTTCAGATGGTCAGCGCCACTTTCCTTGGAATATTCATCCACTTCTTCCCCTATTCGCCACGTTGGCTGGCTCTTGTGGACCGCCACGACGACTGCCTGAAGAGTCTCAGCAAGCTGCGTGGACTACCGCAGACAGACGAGAGAGTCCAAGCCGAGTTTAGAGACATCGTCACCGAGGTTAAGTTTCAACAACTCATTGAGGAGCGACAGCACACCGGAGCGTCGGGAGTCAAGCGAGAAGCACTTATCTGGCTGAGCATCTTCAATCGGCGAACCTGGAAACGAACCATCGTTGGCTGCGGTGTGGCATTCTTCCAGCAATTCCTCGGGATAAATGCGTTCATTTATTACGCTCCGACCCTATTCGAATCGATCGGTCAAACCGGAGATATGTCTTTGATCCTCTCAGGTGTTTTCAACTGTCTTCAGCTGGTCACTGTCATCGTCTGTTTCTTTATCATCGACAAAGTTGGTCGTCGACCACTGGCCATCTTCGGTGGTTTTGGCACTTGCGCGTGTTATATTGCCATCGCCGCTTTATCTGCAGTTTATGGGCAGGATTGGTCCGTCAATACAGCGGCAGGCTGGGCATGCGTTGCTATGGCGTTCCTATTCATTCTCATTTTCGGAGTCTCCTACTCGCCTCTCGGATGGGCGCTTCCCTCGGAAGTCTTTCCCAACGCAATTCGCTCAAAGGGTGTCGCCTTGTCTACTTGCGTCAACTGGCTATCTAATTTTGTCGTGGGTGTCATCACGCCACCAATGATGAGTGACATCGGCTACCGCACTTACATCTTCTTTGCGGTTTGGTGTTTCCTTGCCGGAATTTGGGCCTTCTTCCTGGTTCCCGAAACGAGTAAAAAGACACTGGAGCAGATTGACGAGGTGTTTGGGGATGCTAGTAGCCACGAAGAGAGGGAGATCATGAGGATTGCGGCTTCTTCAGCAGATATCGGTCAAGAAAAGCCCGACGTATAATTATATCTAAGCAATGTGTAGCATGCAGTTATACAAACATGTAAATGAACCAAATTCACTTCACTTGAAAGGATTCGTCAGGTCAAGTCAAAGCTGTATCCTAGCCGACGACAATATTGGTTTTGAATGACAAGTGAGTTGCTGGTCTCTGTCCTGAAGCATGATATGACAACATTTGGCTGTTTTGCTTTAATCATTTCGGTGCACACACTCTGTGCCTTTCTAATAATGTCGTCGCATTCTGGACTTTCTACCTTCTCATCCAGAAATGGTATTGCATCAAAAACGTTGATGTCATCTAGGCCTAACTTGGAATCAGTCACGGCAGAAATCAAGTCAGATACTGCATTGATAGTTGAGCACGTGCGCCTTCCTGCTAAGAAACCGTCTGAATTATCCTGTGTCGAATGTGGTCGTAACAAGACAACCACCACACCGGCCTTTGATTCCGGCTGTGCCAATTCGAGTCCGAAGCTAAGATCACATGTAGAAAGATAGTCGCTCTCGCTATGCACATTTTAAGGGCCTTTCCAAATTTCTGGAGTATCCGAATGTGCTCAGAGTCCCCATTCGTATTGATGGGCCGAGCTTTTTGAATTAGTCGTCGCAGTCGATGATCAATAGGAATACCGAGACACTCCATATCCGTCCAGGCACGTTTAAATAGTAATATTTTAAATTCAAAATTTGGACTAGTTAATGAATCAGGCTCCAAGACTGGCTGTGACAGAGGAGAGATAGTGTGTGTATGTATGTGTGTGAGTGAGTATCTATTTAACGTCAAGGCTCGGGTCTCTCCATGCCTCTTGGAATCTCGAAAACGGAAAAGCCCTGGTCCCGGCGCGGGACATTGAAACGTGAAACGGGGAAGCTTCGGGGCAGCGGTGCCGATTCTCCGGATTACCATACGAGGCCCATATGACAGCCGTGGGCCGTAGAGACAGTATCGCGCGGTGGAGAATGCACGTAGTATTGAGTCTGCTGTAGAGTGCTTACTCGAACTAACCAAGAGCGTTCCATCGCCATACGACAAAACTTCTCCGGAGCTCACTAGATCGGTCCGATATTCATCCGATCTTCATCAGACATACGACGGGCAGAACCCTAGCATGGGCAGGCAGCTCTACGCGGTGCTGGGGGCTAGTACTCTTGCAGAGATTCTCTTTGCAAGAAGAAGCTAAGACCTGCCCAAAAAAGTGGATGAGAAATGGTGTGGTGGTGGCGGAACGCCCGTGCCCTGCTACAACAGTGCACTCTTCAACACCATCCGGCTACGACGAGGCCCCTCTATACGGTTACGGATAAAAGGACAGCTAGCTAGGTCTTCCCTCCGCGGGAACTTCCCAGCCAGCCTCCGCCCTGTCTTCCTCCATATGACCTTGAACGTTGTATCCAAGAATCTCCTCCCTCCCAAAACGGTCTCAAGTAGAAGGATAGCTAGATTTGTGGCTGGGTCTCCTCAGTTATCAATGTATGACCGCCAATACTACAAAACCATTTCTCCTCACCTGGCTCCTCGCTCTCCATGCGGCCTCGAGCATAGGGATAGCTAGGCCTTTGTGTCCCGGGGGCCACCTCAGCTATCAATGTACGACCGCAAACACTACAGACTCTCTTCCCTATCCACTCTCCCCTCGCTCCACGCGGCTCTCGAACAGAAGGATAGCTAGGTCTTTCTGTGGGGGGTCTCCTCAGCTGTCAATGTACGGCCGCAAACACCACAGACCCTATTCAAATGAAAATAGTCAGAGATGCTTCAAGTTTTCCTTGAGAGAGAAAAATCATGGCTACCGATGGAGGTAGAAAAAGATGAGGGGAAAACGTGACGGACAAGTTACTGTTAGATGTCTTGATGTCACTTGTACTCGAACTTATGTTTCTGCAAGTAGGAAACAATGACGGGCAGATCAAGCGATGCATACTCTAGGTGTAAGATAGGAAAAATGAATATTGACAAAATCCTATGGGGGAAGTAAGTCTATCAATTCCGGGAATAAGCCAAGCCAAGCCGCTCTGTGTATGTGTTATCAGATAACGCTTTTTATGGTCAACCACGTCCACAGGAAATCTCATAGCAATTAAGCAGGTTGAAGAAAGATCTCTCATCTTCCATCTGTCTTTGTTGTCGTGTAAAGCGTATTTTATCCTGGTATCTTGGAGTCTCCACGAATGTCATGTGCCTTGGCAGCCTGGTGTCGATACTTGGGACGGCTCTGATTGATGATGTATATTCGTCGGGGAAAGTCTCTGGAAACAAGACCGCTGCCTAACCGTATCGTGATTTCTACGTATTGGATTTCAGAGTCAAATGAGTGATTGTAAGTTTCATTATACATAACAATATCTAAAGAACATAATCACGACATCCTTGATTTCGTGTTCGGATTCGTGGCCTTAATAGGCCTTTCTGTGTCCTGGTGAAACACCCATATACTCCCATAACTGCAGCTTTGAGAAGAAAAGAAGCAAAAAAATAGAAATAAGAAAGTAAAAGAAAAAGAAACACAAAAACACCAGGAGCGCTCAGATTTTAGAGAATCATCACTCGTCTAGCCAAGCCCATGGCGAGTCTTCTTGTGTTGCAGTAGGTTGTCTTTCCGATTACACACTTTGGCGCAATCTTTCACAGGGCAGGGATGGGCTCGGGGAGCGACATGAATTTTCCGAAGGTGTCGGATGAGCTCGTGCTCACGGTTGAAATAGCCTAAATAGCGGCAACCTTCCCGCTTGCATTGCAGGGGAGCACCCGAAAGATGACTGAAGTACTCCGTAGTTAGTTGACAGATACGGTTGTATGATGTATGTATAGGAATTGACAGGGGAGTGCCGTACTCGGGGGTTTGTGTGGTATTTTTCTTCTCCTTTTTGAGACCGAGACTTTGGTTCCTGGTGGACGCTGCCTTCCACTGAAAGCTGGTGGGAGGCGGCGGCGGTCGGGTCGGAGTGGTCTGGGTTTGCGGGGTTCGGGCCGGTAACCGCGATCTGGGGACTGGGGACGCTAGCTGGCATACACTCAAGACGACAGGCGATCACCCGGGAGCTGCCCGGGTCCATGGTATTCTCAACTTATTTCCCTCGCCTTCGGGTGGCTTGTGGGGCGTTCCAGTTTCCTGGTGGCCAATAAAATAATTCGAATGTCTTGATTCGTTTCCCGGTCGGGCTATGCTTTGGACACTGCGTCATCTGGTTAGTCTGGGTTAACTAACTCCACAACTCAAAATGCTTATGTGACTTGCTTGAACCACCGAACCTCCGACACAAACATGCTGTGCAGCTCGCTAGCGTCCATGCTCCGTGACAGAGACTAGCCGCATATGGCCTAGTACATTCCTATTTTGGCGCGGATGCGGACCGAAGCCTGAGCATCCAAAATCCGCGCGAAGTGGATGGAGGGCACTCTCCATCCGCGCCAAACCGTGCCGAATGCAACTCTAAGCAGAACAATGACTACCAGCCCCTAGCCACACTCATTGACAGTGCAGAAGAATACCAGGTGGAATGTATACTGGACTACCATAAGATCTGCTGCAGATGAGGGTTCCAATGATAGTATCTGCCTATCTGGTGAAATGGATGGGTTACCAGCACCCTGAATGGACTGCAGCAAACAACATGGAAAATACCACAGCACTTGATGAATGGGAACAGCACTATGGAAACAGGAACTGTATGGGAGAGGAGCAGGATTCTTAGGAGGGGGGTATTGTCACAGGCTGCGCCTGTCACATAAGCGATATGTTTAGTTGGGCGGAGAGATTATCAGAGGAACTATCTTTCCTGCACTGCATGTGCATGTATATAGAGCTGCCTGACTGGGCATTCATTCCCCTCTTCTTTAACGAAATCTTTTGTACCAAAACTAGTCATTAGTATCTCCGGGCCTGGCCCCTAACAAGCTGACTGGGCAGGCTACAGGAGCACTAACAGAAACAAAAACAAATACAAGATTTTCTGTGGGCACACGAAGCTCCCCAATCAAGAAGTCTTTGATGCAGAGGCCAGAGCTGCCAGAAGCGGCCATGGTGACTTTGCAGAGTACCATGAGCGCTTTAAACATGAGGATGCCCTGCTGACATGCTCATGCGGCCACAGAAAGGAGCCATCCCACTTCTATCACTGCAGAAAGGGCCCCAAAGCAGCAGCACATCCATGGGGCCAGCAGTCAGTGACCGAGATCCTCAGCACAAAGGCCGGATTCACTGCGTATGCAGACTGGCTGGGAAAATCCAAGTTTTATGCAGACATCTGCTGACGCCATTAGGCGATCAAATCTTGCCAAATCCAGGGATATAAAAGCTCACCTTTGATTCATCTCCCCCTTCTTTCCCTCTTTTCTTCCCTTCTTTTTGTACCCCTTTATTCTTTCTTGTCCGCGTTCTTGCTTTTTCGTTCAAAACCAAAATGCCCGATTTGCTGGTAGACAGCTATGAAAACCCAAGCAGCCCCCCCCCCCGGGGATACCTGTATTTAGATGATAGATGGTAGTTTAGCTAGGTGACAGGCAGTTCCGATCTGTCCGTCGTATGTCCTGCACCGGGACCAGAGCCCCACCACCTCTGTGAAAGGACTCGCCCCTCGACGTAAGATAGATACACACACACACACGCACTACTACTACTACTACTAATAGGTAGCTGGCCGGTCTAGTCGACCGACCACCCAATCAACCACTCATTAGTCCATATTCACATTCCGACGTAAAATAGCAACTAAACTAAACTAAACTATCCACAACAGCCTACCTATCACCTCATCCATGAAGTCATAATTTTGATGCTGTAGAGTATCCCGGCATTGTAATTCTCTGCCTGTCTTGGCTGTTTCCTCTTCAATATGACTGGTGGATGGTCTGATGCAGCTGGAAAACAAGAATGTACGGATCTATTCAGGCAATATAGCTGAGATATATGATTAGCATTTACGGCATTTTGTGAAATATATTGCAGAGAATTTTTTGAAAAACAACTCCTCAGTGGCGACCCCCCCCCCTACCTTCTGAGCGAGTTCCCGCACTGCGGAAAACTCGAATCCTATATTCAACTTCACGCGGAATCGATTGATACTACTTTCAACG